TAAACTATGTAGGTAAGTTATACTGTTATATATCTCCATCCATCTGCCTTGTGTTGACTCCCTGCCAGAATGTTCCATCATCGTTGATGTCAAAGTTAATATTAAGCAGATGATACTGTTTTGTTTTATGAGGAAGAGAGAGACTGTCATTCTTCTGTTTTTTGTTTGTTCTTTGTTCTTTTTTACCACATAAAAAAGTCAAACATAAACAAACACTGCTGTTGCAGCTAATTTATAGGGATCAGAACCTCCTCCTTTCCCCGTTCCCCCCCCCCCAAAAAAAAAGAAACAAACAAAAAAACACCCCTTAAAAAGGAATAGCCTGCGTAACTTCACAGACTAGACAAAGCAACCAAATGGCTTGAAAAAAATAACCGTGTTATATTAAACTAGAATTACGGAAAATATTAACTTCCAGGAAGTCATCATCTAAGCAATCATTTATTTGTACAAAGAACATTCATAAACATTTACGTTTTTAGAAACAAAATTACCAAACCAATGAAGATTAAATTAATTCTATTGTTTCAGTTCAAACTCATACCAATTAAATAAATATGTTAATCTAAATACCTAAATTAGAACTTTTGGTAGCATAACCAACATGTCATTGTCCTAAAAAAGGACATTGAAAGTTCAAACATTGTGTTTTTTAATCAAATGCTTTCAAAAACTAATGTCATTCATTAATCAAACTTCAAAACTTTGACAAAACAATGATGACTAATCTCTAAAAACAAAAAAATTAGCAGGAAAAAAAAACAAAACAATCACACAATTACAAAATTTGGACACTGTGCAAAACTACTGTAACTCATCATAATCAGAGGGACATATACACTAGTTTTGCTATGTGACTGTTTAATACAAGGTTCGACATTGTGTGTCTGTCCTGGGAGCAGAATGTCACAGAAGTTTGCTATATCTGTTTTCTCCTAATGTAGCTAAATCAATAGATTGCAGTCTGATTAGATGCCTTGTAACAATCTGGTTAAATCATGTAATACAGCAATACATTCAGTCTTTACCTGCTGTATTCCTTTCATGGACTTCCCCTACTTTTGAATTTGGAACAGTCCATTTGATAATTAAGGGATTTCAATAGCAGACTTTAATAATAAAAATTGGTCTAATTTAATAATATCAACAGTAAAGACCCCGGTGAGATTACAAAGATGTGTAGGCTGGGCAGGCTCCATACTGGTGGCAAAGATGAATCAATCAAATGTTCAAGCAGGTTATTGTAAACAAGAACTGTCAATAAGATAGTGTGATGGACTTTTCTCAGTACTTGATAGTAAAACAAGAGCTTTGATACTGTAGGTACAGTCAGATGGTTAAATCATGGTTAAATACACCCATACTGTGCATTGGGCATATCAGGCATACTACCCTGTCAAGGCATTAAGAAAACAAACGGAAGGTAAAAACATTTCAAATTTCCCTCATATTTTCCCCACACTGCCACCCCTGGAATGTTACCAGTTAGAAATGTCTGGTGCATTACCAAGTATTCATTTATCTTTTTTCAATGAATTTCATCTCATTATTGATATCTGAGTCACTACCTTGAACTAAGATTTTTCCAATGACCTTTAGGCAAGGTGTTGTTGCCTTTAAAATTACACATTCAGAACAAAGAAGGAAATTTATTTTATCTAATTATCCAACATGAAATCAAAGTACAATTAAAAGATGTCTGATTTTGTTCTGAACTTCTGAGCTTGTGATATAGATAAATTAACACTAGCTAATAGCTTTACTTGGTGTTGACAATACCGCTTGAAGATGTCATCATTTTTGTATTTGTCTTCTGAAAACAGTTGAATAAACTTTACAGTCATTGACCAACAGTTATTAATTTAATGACAATGTAACAGACATGTAACAATGGTTTACATTTCATTCTTTATTTTTTTATTTTTTGAGAGGGGTGGGAATTACTTCCCACAAAGATAGGCATGTCTCCCTTGCAGAATTATCGGCTCCAACTTTGGAGCCATTAGGTCTAACTTTTTCTGATTGGTGAATTTGGTGGCACAAACTTAATTTGTCATTTGACCCAGAGGGAACCCTGCTCACCAACACTTCAAAGGTCAAATGGTGACTTTCTAGCTTTACTGGTTGAGTAAAACACTGTGTGACCTTCTGCACATTATTTCAGGCATAATCACTTTATCAGGCACCTGTGTAGAACCACTGATATTCTATAAACTAGCTGGATAGCTTCCTGACATGAAAGAATCCAAAGAATAGAAAAGTTTGCTACACAGTTTTACATATATAGAAACAATCCTTGTTATTTCAAAGCTTTTTTTAATAAATCGGATAATTTATAAAATTAATAAAGAAAATATGACAAAATTGTATACCTTTAATACTTCTCATACTTTAAAAAGGTGAATTTATAAGTCAAACACCAGTTTCAATTTGCATTAGAATTTCTTTTCTTTGATGTTAGATATATACCAGAACATAAACCTCTGTGGTAATATGCTGTACAATTTTTCATGGAATGCTTTTTAATTACCAATTATGAAAAAACAGATTACTATTTTCATTTAAGCATAAAAACAGCATGGTGCACATTAACCATATAATGTTTTCTGAACTGAGTAGCATATTTTTATGATGTTTTAAACAAAACCCATTTGGATAGTTGCACAACAGTTTCAAAAAGTCAAGAAAGAACATTTACACAAGCAGCTAGCACAGCTAGCTATATGATTCTGTATAATGTATATGTTATAATGCTAGTATTACAGAGCTAGTCTTCTGACAGCTGAAATGCTTACCACTTTAAATTTCACAAGTTATATTTTAAAAGTAAAATAAAAATAATTCAAAGTAAAATATTTCATACTGTACAAGTGAAAAACCTTATCATTCAGCAATGACTATTAGTCATTTTTCCCCTTCTCCAAAGTGTATATTTGCTCCCTTTTTCTAAGGAAAAAACCTTCTTTTAATTAAGATGCATTTTAGCTTAAAAGGATCATTTCTGAGTACATGTAGTTTGAAATGATAATCATGATTCAAAATCATGTCATTCAAAACTATTCAGAAATTGTATGATTTTGAATCACAATTTACATAAAACTAACTGTTTGCCATCTTTTCAAACTTTCCCGTTATTTTTTCCTCTGTGGTTCAATTTTCCCCTGAAAAATGAGACCTGACAACATTCCCCTTTACATGTATGTGAAAAAAATCACTGTGCAGATATCTAAGATAATACGCAAGGAGTTTGTCTGTACAAAGGCTTTAATGTGTACCACAGTTTGTGTTGCCATTCAAAATGCCTGTCACTTCGACAGAACAAAACTTAATATTCTGACATATGATTTGAAAATAGTGCATCATCATCATATTCAAGGGGCTGTTCACCGTTTTCAATTAATTCCTCAAATAAGGACACTCAGTTAGTCATTTTCTAGAATTATTTACTCAGTATCATGCAGATGCTTCAAATGTGTGTAGTGTAATGTGTTCAATGTAAGCATTTTCATGACACTCTTAGTATAGAACACATTAACATAAATTGATAATGTGGCTGATTGAGCTTTTATGACTGACGACAAGCAGGGATCCAGGCTCAAATTATGGTGGATTTAGAATTGTAAACAACCCCAGTGGATCTGTGCCTGGTCTTTGACAACAACCTGCAATTTTTATCCCAGAGGCATGTTTGTACCAAAAGACAGGTGAGCATGCAATAAGACTAGGAGCAGGCCTACTATTCTTCAAAAAGGTTCTATACATGTCTCACCCTAGTTTTCCAGCCCCTGTTTTTAACATTTTTAAATATTCTTTTATCCTCATTTAAACAACTCTTTATAACTTTCTTGCGATTTTTGACGCGCAGACATGTCTACGTTCCCGCAAGGGGTTTGTCATTAACGGAAGATAAATAGATAGATAAAAAATGAACATTAAAATGTAAAAAAAGATAGAATCCACTTAAAGATTTCTTATATCGATAATCTGTAAATGGTTGCACTTTACAGTTTAATTGAACTACAGGGATAAGCATACATGTGAACTCTCCCACTTGAGGCGGGAGACACCCACTTTCTTAAGCCATATTTTCAAAGATTTTTCTTAAAATAAGGGGTATTTTCACAAATTAAAGAAATCTCCCTATTTTTGATGTCAGAACTTCCTTCTTTGTTTATTGCAAATTCTAAAATCTCCCTCTTTTTGAAGAAAAATCTCCCACTTGATCATTGAAAAAAGTTCACATGTATGGATAAGATGCTTTTATCTTATATTATATTATCCCCTACCTGACCCCCCACCCCTCCCTCCAGTCCCTGTTCCAACCCTTGAAGTCAATTTCCACATTTAGTATTCATAACAACAACAATAATAAAGACACTATTACACAATTTTCATAGCGGTATAATGAAAATTGTGTAGACTAAATAGTGTCATATTATTGTTGTTATGTGGAAATTGATTTTAGATCATATTTTTGGTGTTGTATCAGGGACTGGAGGGAGGGGGGATCAGGTAGGGGATATTAAATATCAGATCAAAGCCTCTTATCCCTATAAATCTTTTAAAAGATAACTACGCATAAGAACATGCATACAAATGATACATGTGTCTACAATCTTCTTTATTTTAACATATTCATTAATATTCTATCAAAAGCAGACAAAACTTATCAGATTTTGTCAATGTAAGATTTGCTTAACATTTAAACTGTGTGCATCCAAGGATTTTAGTTGTCAATTAAAGTCTCTGGTGCATCGAAATGTTGCAAGTAATCTGAAGAATATAATATTACATTTTGAGAAAAGTAAGCATGTTCAAGTGATAATGTGATATGAAAATATCAACACTCCTACTGAGTACTGGCCACTAAAATGATTTGCAACTCCCCACCCACTTTAAAGCACGATAATTAAATTCTTGTCGAATCGGAATGTGCAGAAAATATTAATTATTACTTTAAAGCAATTAATCAAAATTATTGGCTATTAAAGGCAACTTACATAAACAAAGGTATTGTCACTGTTATTATTCTTCTCACATGAAAATCCAAATTGTGACAGTCTTACAACTTTACATGCGCATGCGTGAACTACTGGTGTTTTAGATTACAAGAGTACACAAATGATCCGAAGCGCTCAACTCCTAACTTGAGCGGGCCAATGTATTCATTATTTTGATTTCATAGAGTACTTGTTAAAACTGGTTAGAAGAATTTTAAATTGGAGATTTCATGAGTATTTATTAAAACACCCAATCCATTATCCTGATTGCTAGTCCCAGTTTAGACTTCTTTATTGGGCAGCTGCATCCTTTTTACCAGTTCTAATTAAGCTTTAAATTGCTTTTAACTTTCTATCTCAGTCTTGTTGTTCTTTTTAAACTTGCTTTTATCTTAATCGTTTTACATGTACCTATAAATTTGCACTTAACACATTTGTTTTAACAGCTTTTCCTAGACAACGCGCCTGCTTAGTGTAATCATTCACGATTTTGAAGCAGTATGGTGTAGATGTAGATTATATTTAAGTCATGTATACATCTTTGTCCGGCCACATTGTACTGTACGTACTGTACGATACCCCACCCCACTTGCACCAACCTCAAATACAAGTCTCAAGAGAAGAGCATAGCTCTATCAAATTACTGTTTCAAATTTCCAGGCGTCTAGCTTTCAAATTGTGAAATAATCTTGAACCCTAACAAAATATATAACTGCCTTTATTACAGTTTGGAGCAAGTAAAATAAATTACTTACCTGATAGATTAACTAAAATTTGTTTTTATAAAGTCGTTTTTGGGTTGTTTTTGTAGAAACACCTGAAAATGAGAACAAAGATCAAGAGGGTAAGGCGACGTTCACAAAACGCAATCCCGACACTACCCAGCCACAATTAACAGTGCAAGTAGACATCTAGACATCTTCATAAATATCTGAATTTACTGAACTCGCAATTCTTCCTAACTACATCCAAATTCAATTATAAAATAGTGTATAAATATTGATTTTAATAATGATTTTTTAATACAAATTCACTTTTGCTCAAAATTTAACTAATTTAGATTATTAAGTAAACTATTTTATAAATCTTTTTCATTTTTGGAATGTATTTTACGGATATGTAGTGCTATTTGAGAAAGTAAAGTTTATATTACGTAGTCTGTAAGTTCTTCTTAACCATAAGTCACGAATAAGTCATAAGTCATAAATACTTTAGAACACACGTTAGTTCACTGCAAAGATGATACATTTTTCGTTATGTAACGTAAATTAAACATCAAGAAAAACAAATCAAATTACTATTCAAGGATATATAGCAAAACAGTAATTGAAACTGATGTGCCGACATACATGTAAGCCCTCGTATTATAACCGATTTTATTACTTTAACGTTATAATTACCAAAAAACAAAATACAATAGATAAACAAGTTTAAATTCTTTCTTTTTAATCTTATCTACTCACTATCTAATGATTCAAATGTCCACATTAAATTTGTACAATGCTTCTTGTTTCTTTTGAGGAGTTTTCATGTACTTTTGCTGTTTTTATGCTTCCGATGGATCACTTTTTCCCCCGGATACTTTTACAGAGTCTTATACCAGCTCGTGTTAGAAAATATCTGGAAAAGGGACTTGCTTATTTTCTCCTCCTTTTTGACACAACCTGCATTACACTTTTTTATATTCATTCTAATTCGTTAAACAGATATCTAGTAAGATGTGCAAAATTAATAACGTTGTTATTCCCAACGGACTATTGCCGTATAAGCGATTCCATACTATTTACACCATGATGCGAGTACATTTCTTGGATATCAGACAGGATTATCTACACCGGTGCTAGAAAAAAACTGTCTTACACCCCCATATAAGACAATTCGCGTGTTTTAAATAACATCACTCCCACGCGCCTTTTATGAATGAATTGCGTTACTAGGATGACGTCATTGTGGCGTTATGAATGAAGTTGTAAATTCATACGCTACTATTAGAAAAAAAGTGCTTAATCAAAATATTAGTTTCTTTTCCTAATATCATTAATTTGTTATATGCAAGAAAAAATAATCAAACACCTGCTGCCGGTATAGACAGGAATATCTAGCTCTCGGGTCTGTACCGGCAGCAGGTGTAAGATTCTTATAGTATGTTCATTTACAGCAAAAACCTGTGTGGAAATCAAAAGCTATTTATCTCCTGTCACAAGATTTTTTTGCCTGTCGGTAAAAAGTGCAGGATTTCTTAAATTGATTTTGGGCATGTTTGGTTTACTTAATTCAATGATGTTTGCATGTCACAGTTATACGGTATGAATTTGAGAATTTATAACAATTTGATGCCTGACTGATCGACAAGTGCGGATTAACGCTAACCTGTGGCTGTGCATGCTTTTCACATCTTCTGCGCTCATAGGTGCCCTAATTATAATTGTTTATTGTATTTGTCATTTTAAACAAGCTTATAGCGGATATGGGGCGTTATAAATTTACATGAAAAAAAACTACAGTTAGCAGGTTTTGCAAGAAGCAAGTACGACATTAACGAATATACCAATTTCATACATTTTTGTGACAACAATCATGGGGTGTCAGTGGTCATTAGGTTATGGTCGTTTACATCAAACCACTTGCCACTCGTCTCTATGGGATCGACTTCCGTCGGGGACTTAAGATTATTTCCAGCTAGCTTACGGAATATCGGTGGTTCTACTCACAGATACCATTTTGTGGCAGAAATAATGCATGGAAGGGCACATTATGTCTTCCACAATCAGTAAAACTTGTAAGTTGTTATATGAACAGGGTTTAGATAACAACTATGACGAGGCTGTATGTTTTAAATAGCTTGTGGCATGTAAATAATTTAACTGGCTTTGGAAGTTGAATTCATATTTCGATTGATATCTTTATAAGTGTGTAACTAAGCAGCACCTGCAGGCTTGTTCAGATCTACAAAATCGAAGTAATGTATTATCTATTTTAAATTCTTTACTGGGTTACTGATAAGTTATCAGTATTATCAGTTATCTTAAATAGAGAAAACAGAATCCCTACAGAAAGTTCAAAACTGCAAAATTGAAAATGTTGCATGCTCGGTTTGATGGAGCCTGTTTATGGACATTGGCAATTGCAAGTTATCGGTCACGCCCCCTAGTACTTTTTATTTTTATTTATTTTTATTTATTTATACATTTTAGGAACATAGCACAAGATACATAATATAAAATCATACAGTTAAGAGATAACATAAATAAATCATATATATAAAATGAGATCATAAAACAGCATAAAAGAGCACACTTTTGTCATAAAAAATAAGAGGTACTATGCACCTATGGATAGCCCATTAAGCTAAATGCTTATTTCCAATGGGGTCCATAGAAATAAAAAAAACTAACATAATTTTAACCCTTTCCCCCCCCCTAAAAAAACAAACAAGATAAAAAATATAAAAATATAAACTAACTAACTTTGGTCAAAATTTAGGTTGAAAAAGGAAATATATTTATAAAAGTATGCCCTTTTTAAAATAAGCCTAGTATTACTATCACAGAAATATTTGATCACAGTGCCTAACACATTAGTTGTACACATATATATCTTCTGAAAGACTTTTATAGCTTTCTAGTAGGTACTTTTTAACAGATTTTTTGTATTGCACAAAATTATTAATGGATTTTATATATTCTGGCAGATCATTCCAGTCTTTAATTCCATTATAATAAAAGGTCTGTTTCATCACAGAATTACACTGGGGGACAATAAAATTAAAATTGCTTGATCTAGTATTGTAAAATCTTGCATCAGCACAACATCTAAAGTCGGCTCTAAGGTATGATGGACTCTTTTTGTAAAAAATCTTATACATATGATTTAGTCTTAACTGTTTGACTCTGTTTTCTACATTTAACCAATTTAATTTTTCAAACTCATACACTGTTACAGAAGTTCTGGGCGGTAAGTTTTGGACAAATCTTAATACCTTATTCTGAGTAATTTGTAACTTTCTTTTTAAATGTTTTGATAAACCTTCATACCAAGAGGAACAAGAGTAGTCAAAATGACACTGAATCAGGGCTGAACATAAAAGCTGTTTTGTTTTAGTATCTAAAAGTCTGCTCTGCCTGTATAAAAACTTGAGCTTGGCATTCACTTTAGAAATAACGTTATTAACAATAGTTTCCCCAGATAAATCATTATTGATATAAAGACCAAGATACTTGACTAAATTAGTACCCTTTATGCTATGACCATTACATGTTACAGTAAATTGTTCTTGCTTTTGTAATTTTCTTTTGGGGCCAAATAGCATACATTCTGTTTTACCAAGGTGGAGTGACAGCTTATTGTCTACGAGCCATTCTGAACAGCTTTCTAGGGCTGTCCCAAGTTTTTCTGAGATGAAATTCGGGTCTTTATGTGAGAATAAAATAGTGCTGTCATCTGCATAGAGTATTAACTTGCAATCATTATCAATACTTAAAATCATATCATTTACGTAGCACAGAAAAAGCAACGGCCCTAGAATACTACCTTGGGGGACGCCACATGTCACACTGTTTGATTTAGAGTAAGTATTTCCTATATTAACAATTTGTGAACGTTTTGAAAGATATGATCTGAACCAGGAAATAGACTGAACACCCATTAATTCTAACTTTCCACTAAGAATATCATGGTCTACGGTGTCAAACGCCTTTTGCAAGTCAAGCATCACCATACCTGTGTATAGCCCTTTACTAGTATTAATTCTTATAACATCTTGTAAGTGAATAAGACAACTATCTGTAGAATAACACCTTCTAAAACCAGACTGGTGTTCATACAGTAAATTATTGGAAACCAAAAATGTTTCAAGTTGAACATAAGCAGCTTTCTCTAAAATTTTTGAAACTACACTTAAAATACTGACAGGCCTATAATTACCAACTTCTAGAACACTATTCTTCTTGTAAAGTGGTTTTACTCTAGCCAACTTCATTTCATCTGGTACTTTACCTTCAGAAAAAGATAGATTAACAATGTAAGTAATTGGTATTTTCAGAACACTAGAACCATCCTTCAAAAATCGGGCAGGAATACCATCTAATCCTGTGCTTTTACTAGCATTTAAGTTGCATATATATAGTTCCTTAAAAACAAAATTTTCAGATACATGTTGTAGATTTAAAATATTACTATCAGGATTTCTTTTACTATAAAAATTGAAAAGCTTTTCAGACCCTAAATCATACAATTTTTTACTTGAAGGTAATTTCCCAACAAGTTTAGACGCAACACTTGTAAAAAAATCGTTAAAATAATTTGAAACAGTATCAGCATCATGGCAGTTTTCCCCATTAATTGATAATACAATATTTGAAGATTTCTTCTTGTCATTTTTATATCCCAAAGTCTTTAAGTTTTGCCAGAGTTTGCTAGGATTAAATTTGTTTTCCTCTATTTTGTTAGTAAAATATTCTGACTTAGCAGTCTTTATATCTCTTTGAATCTGATTCCTTAACTTACAAAAAATCTTATAATCCTCTCTTTCACCATACTTTTTGTATCTATATAAATGCGAGTCTCTTTGTTTGATACTATCTAGTATTTCGGAGTTAATCCAAGGCTCTGACTGGTTACGTAGTCTTACTTCCTTTACTGGGGCCACAGAGTCTAAAACACTAGTAAACACATTTTTAAAAGAAATCCATGCAGTATTAACATCAGTAGAGTAAAAACAAGTACTCCAGTCAGCATTTGTTAATCTGGAAATAAAATCTGTTTTATCATAATTTTTTAAAGACCTGATTTTAACATAATTATGTTCCTTTGCTGGAACTTTCACAATTTTTCTTGTGCAAAAAGTAAGCATATGATCACTCAGACCCATAGGAATAACTCCTGACTGAGATATTTTTTCTTTGTTATTACATAGAATATGATCAAGTAGACTAATAGATGAACTACAAATTCTAGCAGGTTCTGAAATAATCTGTTCTAAATTAAAAAGCCGTAAAATATTTTTATAAGACTTGTAAAAAGAACCAGACTTATGTAATACACAAATATTAAAATCACCTAAAATTATAGTTTCACAATCTGTTCTCAAATGAGTTAAACCGGCTTAAGCATAACCTAACATTTAACACGAACTGGTTAAATTTTGAAACATCATTGAAAAGGCAATATATATATAAAAAAAATATTTATTCCATTTTTAATGAAGAATTATTTTAATAAGTCAATGACCTATTCAAATTTAACAATTTACCAGATGCGTAATAAATGAAAAATTAATGTTTGATGACAAGGAAATTGGATTTATCAAAATTATAGTATTTTTCCTAGGTTTTGTTGAATTATTTGCCTTTATTGTTTTGAAATTATAAAAACTGATTTAACAAGATTTTATTTATTGTCACAAATAAATATTTCATTAATTTTTATGGGTTTAAGTGTAGAACCCGTTCATATTCTACCCACACAATCATCTTGGACATAATATAAAGTTGTGTTACATGTATGTCCAAATATACATACTGTAGGAAAAAACATGATATCTTCAGACAATGAAACTGTGTGAATTATCTTATTGTTCAAACAATTGTTTCAATGTCTGAATAAACTACCGATTTTTCCCTTAAACACAAAAAATGTCACGAAGTATATTCAGTGTTAAACCGGGCTATGGAAATGTTTAGTCGAGCTAAACTCCGCGGTATTGCTCCGCGGTACAGTGTTTATAGACAAAATTATTTTTAGCCAATCACAAATTAGTTATCCCTAAGTGCGTTCTTACAACATGGTGATTTAGAAAAATAGTCTGGTCCGCATTTAAATAAATGCCATTTTTTAAAACTCTAAATAAAGTCTTTTAATCATTTTCGCTTTTCTGTCCACTGCTATAAACATAACATATTTAAAAAGATAACAATGTTGCTGTGACTTCCAATATAGAGCCAGTAAACCCGTTTTACTGTCGGTCGAGTTTTGCTTTTGGCCACCGGAAGTCGTTATTTTCTGAAAAAAAAAAATCACTAGAAGTAAATATTTTGTTATTTGCTCCGTTATAGCAGTATTCCTTAGTTGTTAGAGAATATTGAACGAAGGCACATTTGAACACACCCTTAATCATGTTGTTGAAGGAAACTGTCAGTTCTGTTTGGTAAATCTTTGGGGAAAATGTGTGCTAGAAAAGTGGTCAAATACAGCAGTCAGTAAAGCCCCAAGGGTTCTGGGTTCAAGTCTTAATTAGGCTGCACATTTTCTAAATCTCGAGATTACCATACAAAAAGTGTTCTGTAAATCCATAACCATAAAAAAATTGCAAACAAATTTCATTCAGTTAGCGGAGTGTGTTCACTAAGAAATACATCTAATATCACTCATTTATTGTACAGAATTTATTGTTATTACGGGGAAGTTAAAGACCGGGCCCGCGAAGCGGGTCCAGGCTTTGGCTTGTCCGGCTATAGACAACACGTGTATATTTAAAAGAAAATCAAATAGAAAACAATTAAAAAAAATAGAGAATTCTATACCTATCAATGAAATTTTCAGTGTCAGTTCTAGTTGGGCGCCACCATTTACAATGTTACTCAATGATATTAGGCGAGTATTCTGATAACGGAACAAATCTCAACTTTTTGGATCAATAATAATCAAGTCTTCCGAGTGAAAACGGAAGCGGTGCATGTAATACCGAATGACATCTTTGAAACGGAAAGAATGAAAGGAATTTTTTTAAAGACTTCCCCATTCAAAGGCTATGCCTAATTTCATATTAAGTATCAATACAGGATAAATAAATCTTCTGTCTTGGTATAGAACATTTTTAAATGTGTAAGCAGCCAGGTAGTCTTAATATTTCTCTAACAGACTGACAGATTTTACAAACTGATATTACAATACAGTAGTTGTCAGCCTTTCTGGTTAGAGAGAAAATAGAGGAAACTATCTTAATTTATAGTCATGCACTAGCACTGCTAAAGATGTATTGCTGGTTTATTTCAGATCAGTAATTAGAAGCAATGTCTGACTTCTTTGAAGATGAGGCTGAAGTGTCGGGGGAATCCAGTGAGGAAGGATCAGTGTTGGGTTCCAGTCGATCAGGATCAGGCTCTGGGTCAGGTTCTGGTTCAGATGCAGGATCAGATGTGTCGGGTGGGGCTAGGAAGAAGAAATTGAAAAAAAAGAAAGATATTAAGAAGAAGAAAAAGAAAATTCTGTCCGATGATGAAGACGAGGATGAGGAAGAAGAAATAGGTATGTTATGTTCAACTTTGTTGTGTCTGAATAAATCAAAGGTTTAGAGTATATTTTTATACCATACTGTATAACCATATAAAATACTGTCATTGTTGGGTCTGGTTCATTACACAGTAAGAGTCTTTTATGTGATATGATGTACATGTAGTACAACATAGCATTTTCTCTGATCAAGCATTTTGAGGAAGGACCTCCAGCATTTAAATGGGACAAATTATTTGGCATTTAGGAAATTTCAGAAACTTTTAAAAATTAAAAAAACTACTGTATACAGGTTTTTAACATTTGTATGATCATGTAACCTGTACTGTAATGGTTGTGTCTGGTCAACAGTTGTGTCATTCTGTCACAGTCTGAATCTTTTTGTCATTTAGAGACAAATTTTATAATATTCTTTAAAAAATTTGTGATGTGTTTGTCAAAGTCACGATAGGACTTCTAAGGTTGACAGAAAGAAATATTTGTTTTTACCTTAATTTAATTAATAATACAGTTGACTCTTGGTAACTCGAAATCCAAGGGACTGGGCAATTTACTTCGAGAGAAACGGAATTCGAGTAACGTGGATCGGCCGCCATTACGTTGAAATTCGTACATGTATATACATGTGACTGAATGTGCAGAGAAGTAGGTTTGTTATTGTTGATAGCGGCAATGCTGCAATATTTTACCGTTGAAATGTCGGTAAATCACTTACAACTACAAATTATAAATGAACAAAAATATATTATTCAAAATTTAATACATGTATATTAATAGTGAAACATAAACACAAACATTCGTAGCAATGACATAAATGCAATTTTGTCAGTATTCATCAGTAAAGCACATGTTTTAATAAGCACCCATGACAATCATTACAATAAAAGCACAATAACACATTTATTTCAACAACAATTTATCTAATAGATCATCGGACGAAAACGAAAGTAGCAACTATCGTGAACCGGAAGTACATATTAATGTATGCAATATAACAGAACATTAATTATACAAATGTCATTTACGTTGATAACACACATCAATACCTAAGCTGTTATTTGACTAACACCTGTCAGACTGGCACGAGTCAACTTTCTTAAAGAAATGTGTAAGACTAGTCTGTTTGGTAAACTGTTTATGTAAATGGGCGTTTGTGACGAAATTATTCACCTTAGCAACAGCGGCAATGAGATTCTCTGTATTTTTACAAGTTTCTAAAAACTGACACAAAATATCACAAGCATTCATAGCAGACTCGATTGTTGGACGTGGTTGTGATTCGACAGTTGTTTCGTCTTCGTCGTCACTCTTGTCATCAACGTTTCGCGCAGACACAATGTCACTCACTATTGAACTGTCATTTAACTCATCACATGTATAAACATGATTGTCAACATCCACGTATTGTTCCATTGTTGCACCTTTGATAAGCCGCGATAACTGTGCTAGAGAAATGTCATCATCAATGTCCTCAGAATCGGTGTCGGCGCATTCAGAAGTAAGTTCCAGTTGGTCTACATGTTCGAATCCCGCATGTCGGTAGCAATTCGCGATGGTTGCCTGGGTAACACACCCCCAGGCTTGGTGTAACATTCTCAATGCGTCCAAGATTGTTATACAAAGTTCAGTACCACTATCTAAAGCTCTAATTTTTCTCGTAATGACTTGTTTCCTGTAATACACCTTCAGATTGCGAATGACCCCCTGGTCCATCGGCTGTGTTACACTGGTTTATCAGGCTGAAGTCGATAGAATATTCCTGTTTCGTCTGCGTTGAAGATATCATTTGTGTGATTTCCAATCATCCATACTTTCTGATGAGTGATTAACACTGTTTGATTCACCACACACGCGTTTGAACACAATTCCATGACGAACTTTAAATCGTTCTAACCAACCAACAGAACAATCAAAATCACACTGAGGCACACCCAACTCACTAGCGAACTGACGAGCTTTTTCACGCATAATGTCCCCACTTATTGTCACATTTTGACAGCGAGCATTTGTAAACCAGCGCAGGAGAGCTTCTTCAACTTCAGGAAATCTGGCTTTTTTGTCTCTCTTTCTCTGTGGACCCATTTCTCCGGAAAGGTACTTTTGTTTTATTTCGGCGCTGTTTTTTATCCACGTTGACAGAGTTGATGGTGGAATATTAAATTGGGTGGCGATTTCTTTCTTTGATTTAGTACCACGTTCTACCTCTGTAATGGCTTCATACTTGCTCTGAAATAAAAAGAAAATTCGATATTAAGTTTCAAACTAAAAATTATGATAAAGCAATTAAGACATAAATAATGCATATTTTTCCTGTGTTTATTTTATGGCTATTTATATGAAAGAAAAATTATATTTAGTTCAGCCCTTTATAAATTTGTATTTGCGATGAATCTTATTCTAAGAGGCATTCTTTCATTGTCTTATTTATTAAAAAATATAAAATGTACACAGCTCTAGTGTTAAAAAGTTAAGCTTACCTCAAGACTTTTTGAATCAAGTTTTCTTTTTGTACCTCGTTTTTCTCCCGAAGGAGTGACATCATTAATTTGTGACATTTTGGTAAATGATACTTTCAATTTTTGTTTGTTTTTGGTTTTATTTATACTGGGCGCCAGTTTCCCATATGTCCCAGACTAGTCGGCCTCTATTACGATTGCTGGTAATGTAGAGCCTGCAACGGAGGACTTATTCGCCTGCAACGTCGTCGATGTCGTAGAGCCGCGACGGAGGTCTTCTCATGCTGTCGATCGTCATAGACCTTCTCTAGGACCCAATTCCTCGCTTCATGAACAAAGGTTGACAATAGAGGAAAGGCACCTCTTCCGGGAGCAGCAGCTCTCTTTAGGGCCACACCCTTCGTCGTTGGTTAGGTCACACCAGCTAAGTGACCTAACTAGGTCACCCATCTGGTGTGACCTATGCCTTCCGAGCGACGTGCACGCCACGAAGGGAAGTCGGAAGATACTTTCAATCAGACACGGACTTCTTTAATAGTGCTTAATTACAATTAAATTAATTAAATCTTAATTTAGTTATCTAACTGTTAAAACCAATTAAGCCCTTAAACCGATTAAAGCCACTTTTACGACGTGCTAATAATACATAATGACGGGCAATTAAAATAACTATGAAACGTGTGAATCACGAGTGACAACATCTTACCTTGATGTCGCCGACCTTTGATCAGTCGGCTGTTTTCACACTTCGACTAATTGATATGAAAATATGTTGGACTTTAATTGACGGGACCACATTTTCTTTTCGACTAAACAGGAGTCTCGGTAAGTCAAAATTTGACCTAAGCGGAGTTAAAATACAAAGATAAAGAAGGAAATTTGACGGGACTTTAGAAATTTTTCGACTGACGCGGAATTTTGAGTAAAGCGATTTTGACTTATTGAGAGTCAACTGTAATATTAATGTTTTCTGTAACTAGAAGCAAAAATGATGTTGTGTATATGGAGTTACAACATATTAATTACAAAGACTCCAAACAAAATGATTTTAATTTTTTTTAGATGAGGCAGCAATAGCAGAAGAGATGAAAGACTTTATAAATGAAGATGATGATGTTGAAGAAGAAGGAGAAGATGAAGAGGAAGGTGGTGGTGAGAAACGTAAACATGAGTCGGAGGAAGAAGAAGACGATCAACTAGAGGATGAGGACTACGATCTTATTGAAGAAAACCTGGGAATTAAAGTGCAGAGAGTGAGTGAATTTGTATACTACCAGTAAAGGACAAACTACAGCTAAACCAGATTGCTCATCCATGTGGTCTAAGGCTCTGTACTGTTAGTGTTTAGATTTAGATCATGTGATGATCATGTGATTGGGACCAATCAGTATATCAAATGACAATTGAAAGTCAAATCAGTCATAAAAAAATTAACTGCTAAAGTCAATTTTTAAAGCCCTGTAATGCAATGAACTTTCATGCCTGTTTTTGCATTATCAAAACATTATACATAGTAAATTGCATTTCATAATGATTTTAATGACATTAAATTGCTTAAATTGACAGGCAAAGAAGTTAAAACGTATCAAGCGTGTAATATCAGATGATGAAGATAGTGAAAAAGAGGAGGAGACAGAGGGTCAGGCACAAGAAAGAATTGCTAATGAATTATTTGAGGGTGACGATGATGTGGAGGAAGATGATGACGATGCTAGATCGAGAATGACGAGGGCTGAGACTGAGGCTAGAGATCTTGCTGTAGAGGGCTCAGATGAGGAGGATGGTATGTGTATTGTCTTGTATTGAGAAACTGAAAATTTTATAGACTTAAAGTGATATTATGCCCATCCGAGTGTTTATAATAAGTAAACAGATTATAGTCAAAATAAGTTTTCATTTTGCAAAAATTCCTTCTAATTTTATAATTTACTTTGCATGAACAATAAATAACTAGCATAGCTCAAGAAAATTCCTGTAAATATCCATCGAAATTCATCTGCTACGTTCCATTTATGAAAAGAGTTGGGCAGTCTTCTTATATTTTAGGCAGTTCTTTATTTTATTCTAAATATTTTCCAATATCAACTGATGGTCAATGGCGGTTACATCAGCAATCCTTTGAGAGATATAGTGAATTCAGCTCAACTTGACAATGAAAAAATTGAGCATAATGTCACTTTAAGTATTTTTAATATCAATGCTTTGATTGCGGAGCCAAGATATTGTAATATTAATAAGCTGTTGTTAAATGAATATTGATGTAGATCTACTATAAATTATCATTTCTGATTCACAGAGCTGGATGATTTTATTGTGGATGATCAAGGTCAACCAATTGGTGGCAGGAAGAAGAAGAAACACATCATTCATTCTGATGCGTGAGTTTTCACAGTTTTCACACTCTCTTGAAATTCACATATGGCATTAAAATAACATCTTTCTTACATTAGAAATTAAATACCAAGCAATGTCTTATTTTCAAGAGTCCATTTATATTTATTTTTGGTATTAGTGAGAAACTGCATAATGAAATCAAAGACATGAGAATAAATAAATGCTTAATTATTCAATTATAGTACAAGTATATCAATTCCAGATAAACATATGTACTTTTAATTACATCCTAATCACATTTAGGAAAGATCAAACACACTTTATAAGCAGTGTAAAAAACCCATTGAAATCAAGTTGAACCTAGACTATATTTTTGTTTAAAGGTAATAAATCAGTGACCGTGACAATCTTTACTCTGTCTTAAAAGTGCAGCCTATATTTTACTGTCTATATAAGTAAAATAAAAAAAATCTATACATTCAATATGGCTTTTACTGTACTTAACCATTATCAATGTGGAAACCTTTATCAAAGTGCAAGTCATGGATATTGTACATGTTCATTGTTGTTTGTAAAAATGATGAAACAGAAAAAAGTGACAACAAAAAAACTGACAAACATCATGAGTAATTTATTGTATGATTTAATACAGATTGTTACAAGAAGCTCAGGATATATTTGGTGTAGATTTTGACTATGATGAGTTCAAAGATTATGGTGACGAGGAGGAGGAGGAAGAAGAAGAAGATGAAGTAAGTCTTTATTGTAAATAGGAAAAATAGCCTTATCATGATAGCTCTGTTATTTTTATAGCTTTAAAAACAAAGGCATATTATAATATTTTTGATACTTTTTTTCCAAAGATAATGTTTTGAATATATATTTTACCTCTTGATCTTGCAAGTGTTATATTTGAATCTAGTTTTAATGGTTACAACTCTTCTGACAATGAATTGTCAATAAAATGACATTTCTTGGGAAATGTAGAACATAAGACACATTAAATTTTTATATGTTAATTTCTGTAAGCTCTTTCAATGCTTGTACATATCTTCAGACAGTAACATATTATTACATAAATATGAAAGCCCATTATCAGTCCATTCTGTTTCTTCACATAATAAAGTACTAGTAGCAGAATTACAATTTGATAAAAGAAACTAAAACAGTAAGAAAATGGTATGTGTATATATATGAATATAATTATTGCAGTATTTGGACGAGGATGAATTGGAAGGAGAGGAGGGCGGAGAAAGAAAAGTAAAAAAGAAACGTCCAAAAGGTGCCAGCAAAGCCTCTTCAACAGTAAGTATTATAATTTTTACATGACTTGTTCTTGAGGCTTGTTATAAAGATATTAATTTTGAAAATTGCATCTTTAAAAAAGAACACATAGAAAATGTAGCACTTTGTTTGATACATGATAAAACTTCATTAATTTTTATTCTAAGAAAAAGAGCTTTGACTGAAGTGTGAATTTTATACAAAGAAATACAGTCAAACTTGGATTAAGTGTGCACCAAAGATGGTCACTTAATACAATGGTTTCTTAAGATAAAGCATGATGTTGCATAAATAAAATATAAGTTTTGGGAGTTGCTCAGCTTCATTAATATACATGTATAATTAATAATTATACTTCAGTACGAGCCAGAAGCATTGTCGAGGGCTTTCATGACAGAACAGGACAGTGTTATAAGAAGTACAGATATGCCAGAGAGATTTCAGCTTCGTCAGGTACCAGTGAAAGAGACCGAGGAAGGTGAACTAGAGGAGGAGGCTGAGTGGATATATAAACAAGCTTTCAATACACCTCCTGTCTCTACACAGGTACAATGATTTACCCCCATTGTCTGTTAGTATAATTTTGTTCATGGACCTCTTTCATATAGGAAACTTCAACTTACTGGATTATGAATAGGTAGTTATTTTATCTAGGTTCCTGGGTTGTACCTGAAACAGTTTTGGTCGTCCTCCTTTGTAATAGCATGGCGGAATATGACAGGAAATGTGTAAATTTTATCCTCAGTTAAAAAAAAACAAACATAAAAATTACAATAATGTTTATGGTGCTAGATAATTTGAATTAATTTTGGTACAGATAATATTCCATAGATATCATATTCTTGATACTGATTAATGTATACCATTTCACATCAAAAATTGGAAGCTGTAAAAACAAAATTAAAATAATTCAGAAATTCAAGTCTGTTATGAGATCATTTTTTTCATTCTTTTCCACCTGTCCCTTATAAAATAGTTTTTCCACCTGTCCCTTATAAAATAGTTTTTCCACCTGTCCCTTATAAAATAGTAAGAAAAAAACAAAAACCACAAAAAGGCAAACATGAAATATTGTATGATAATCATAAGATAATGAATTTTATTGTTATTTATTACAGACATTTCTTGATCAAGAGTCTGGAGGTAGCTATGGTTTCAGTAAGAAAGGCCCAAGTATGGTAGAAAAGATAAAGAAAGCTGTAGACTTTATGAGGAATAAACATCATGAAGTAAGTAGAGATGAAGAATAGACATATTATAACTTTGATTAAATATAGTTTATGTCTTAAGATAAAAAACATGGACCTGGAGTAAATTGTAAAAGAAATCTCATTAAAAATGTTGCTTATTGATGGAAAAATGGCTGGTGCTTTCATCTCGATTAATATTCGAAAAAAAGGGAGGGCTTTTGTGCTTCCAGATGTTGGCATCACACTTTGGTTAAGTTTTTGCATGCAATTTGTATATCCAAAAATACTGAAGGGAATGTGTTGAAACTTCACACATTTATTTGATAATGTAATAGATGTTCAATTTGTCTCTTACCTAGAATGTTTTAATTATTTAAGGTACCATTCATAGCTTTCTACAGAAAGGAGTATGTGGAACCAGATCTAAATATCAATGATTTATGGAGGGTTTGGCACTGGGATGAAAGAGTAAGAAATAATTTTGATAGTTTTGTTATATTTGTGTTGTAGTTTGGACTTAATGTATTCTGTAAGAGGTTTCTATACATATAAAGTATACGCTTTTTCCAAATAAACATGACTGAATTGGAAAAAGAGTAAACAGTTCTGTGTTTATAGACTCCAATACCATATTCCTCTGCTGATAAGATTTAAAGATGTAGATTTTTGTAGACTAGTTATACCATAATTTTAGTCTTTCATATTGTACATTGAATTAGGATTATTTGAATGTATTTAGTTACACTTACATGAGTGTAATGCCATTATTAAGTATGTAAGTCAGAATAAGACATCTAGCCAATCACTGTGCGATAAATCTTCACTTGCATCTTAAAAAATAAGACATTTGAAAAAACGAAAAAAAAACAAGAAAAAAAAACATGTTATTTGTTGACTATGTGTTATCATTTATGTATACATTTTGCTATTAACATATATTTTCAATGTTTATTGTTTAATTAAATTATTTCATATATGATTTTAACAATTCAATGAAATTTGTAGTGTCAGATGAAATATTATATAAAATAAATAATAGAAAGAAGATAAATGCTTCATATCTGATATTTCAGTTTTGTTTTTAAAGATTCGGAACACATTTCTGAAGTTGTTTCAAATTCCCCATTAAATTTTCAGTGGACACAACTTCGCACTAGAAAACAAAACTTGATACGCTTGTTTGAGAGGATGCAGAATTATCAGTATGAGGTGAACTCTGACCCAGATAAAGTTCTCGAGAGTAATATTCGGACATTGACGGAGGAAGATATTGACAGGTTAGTGATACCTTTACCCTCGGCTAGTGTTACTTACCTGTGTTTCTTTAACATGCTCTGCATTGAATCTTAGATGATACATTGTTAATTTTAATTTGAAAATTCTAAAATTAAGACCACATCAATATAATGTATGAAAATGTCATCAGGCCTAGTATTCAGGAAGTGAAGTAATTGGCCAGTCATGAGTGGTAGCTAAAATTCCCTGTGTATAATCAAAGGTATATTTGTGCAGTCTATTTTTCAAGCACAATGTTCATAATGCTTGGTAAAAAAAATGGAAAGTTCTTTAAAAGTGATTAAAGTATAAGAAGAAATCATGTGAATATGTAAGGATTAAGTGAGGTGAAAGAAATTTGGAATGATTTGAAGAACATGTACATGTATCATCTAAAAGGTATTCTTAAAGTTGAATCACTGTGTGTTGCTCTTTTTGAAAAAAGGTAATGATATAATGGTCATGTGCCAATTATACCTGTAGCATAATTTTTTCTTTTTATGAAGAACTCTGCACCACAATTTTGTTTTACAGAGTAAAGAAAGTGGAAACAATGGAGGAGTTACGAGACGTGTATAACCATTTTCTCTTGTACTACGGTTCGGATATTCCCAAGATGCGTAATTTAGAGAAAGTGAAGCGTCGGGAAGAGAAAAACGAGGAGCGAGGGGAGGACGAGCCTCGGGAAGATGATGATGACCATGATCAAGTGAAACAAGCTTCTAGAAAGTCTGGATACACGATTTGTGTGAAAAATAAACTTGGTATGAATATACTGCTAGTCTTATATTACTATAACAATCTTAGTGCCTCTCTTAAAGCTTTTTCAGGTTTCAGACTTTTGGAGAAAGATTGAATCATAGACTATTACTGCCATTTTGAACTTAATTATATGTGGGCTTGAGGCAACAAATTCAATATACATGTGTATTTATTGAACCAACAAAAGTATTCAATAAATGTCATATATCAATACTCACCCAAAGAGTTTTGGATTATACTGTAATGCTCATTCTGTAAAAGAAAGTGATTTCTAATTATGATAATTTTTCATCTTATTTTTCAAGAAAAATAACCAGTTTTTTTTCCCATGTTAATCTTCTTTTATGTGTGATTGATATATTTTGATACAGACACATTTGATTAGATGTATTTATCGGACAAACAATACCTGTATTTGATAAATATCGTATATCAATACTCACCTGTAGCCTGTTTGGATCATACTGTAGTGCTCATTCTGTAATGGAAACAATTCAAAAGTAAAAGAAAGTGATTTCTTATTATGATAAATCATTTTCAGATGAAATAGCACTAAGGTTTGGATTAACACCAGAACAGTTTGGTGAGAATCTACGTGATAATTACCAGAGACACGATGTAGATCAGTGTCCGATGGAACCACTAGAATTGGCTGCTGATTATGTAGCAGGGTAAGTCAGAAATGTCTTTAGCTTTTACCATGCCGATTATTTGTCATAAGAAATAATTCATTATCAGTTTAAGTGGTTTCAATATAAAGATAGTTATGTTGAGCACAGGAAACAAAAAAATGTTTAGAGCCACTCATCCTGCAGTTACTCATCCTTCTTTTCTTGGTGATTTTCAACATTACAAATTTACTCATTAATTTATTGAACACAGGTTGGTAAAAGACCACATGAATAATATTTAAGTTTTTTTTTTCATGAATAAATTTTAGGCAATTCCCAACAGCAGATGAAGCTATGCTAGGTGCTCGTCACATGGTTGCCATGCAACTGTCACATGATCCCCTTGTTAGACAGTGTGTGAGAACAGCTTACTTTGAGAGAGCCAGGATTCATGTTGGTCCTACGAAGAAGGGACAGAAGGTTTGTATTATATAACATTATATTTGAGCCGCGACATGACAAAACCAACATAATGGGTTTGCGACCAGCATGGATCTAGATCAGCCTGCGCATCTGCGCAGTCTGATCAGGATCCATGCTGTTTGCTATCAGTTTCTCTACTTGTTATAGACTTTGTAAGCGAACAGCATGGATCCTGATCAGACTGCGCGGATGCGCAGGCTGGTCTGGATCCATGCTGGTTGCAAACGCACTATGTTGGTTTTGTCATGACGCGTCTCATTTTAACTTTCAATGTTATTTTTTATCTCAATGCATTATCACAAAGATTGGTAAGTGCATAACCAGACATTTTGTTGAAATCAAAACTTCAAACTAGGTTCTGAAATAGATAATGTCTCAAGCTTTAAACCTCTTAAGCTATAAACCTCTTACTCTTGCCTGCTGTTGACTGGAAACCTGCCAGTGTCGTTGATTTTGTTCCTGTGTAAAAGCAAATCAATTACCTGGAGGGCAATTTTACAATTCAGATGACAGTTTATGCCTGAAGTAATACACAAACGGGCACCCAAGTTCCTACTCAAACAGTGAAATTTATCTTGGCCATATTTGTGTAACTACGAACCTAACCAAACAAAAAATATGGATTAGAAATAAGGTACCATGTTGGTATTTGTGCATTTTATACATCCAAGTTTGAAGTTTAGAGTTTTAGAATTGTTTTCATGCACACACCTCATAATACAGTTTTGCAAAGGAGTAAACCATACAAGCAAATATAAATTAAAGATGTATTTGTGGGCGTACCTCATGGCTATTAATTGATATTTTGTTGTTATATTTTTATCTTCTATAAAACAAAATCTTTCTCAATAACAGGTAGTAGATGAGTCTCATCCTTGTTATCCACTGAAATACTTGAAGAATAAGCCAGTGAGGGACTTGAAGGATGAACAGTTTCTGAGATTGACAGATGCAGAGGCTGACCAGATTTTATCAATCAAGATCACAATGGACGAGGACACAGATAATCCAAACATACAGACTTACTACGAGGAAATCAGACAGTTATATTACAGGGTATTTTTCTTATGATTTTTTTCTATATAAGAATATAATCAGTATTTTGCCTTTTACCTGTGCACTCTTCATATATGCTTGCATGTTCATAATATCACTTTCAATTACATCTGATTACACAAACTATCATAAGGTTCATACCATCACTTATCATAAACCCATGCTGCTTTTATAACTCAGTAGATATGGTATTGCACCGCTGTGCATATTTTTTGACATGACACCATTGGTAATTATACAAACATAGCGTAAAGACGTTCAAAATAATAACATCGCACAATAAGTATGTCTATGAAAAAGTGATCCGTTTTTACTGTAAACAGTTGTTGGATATTTGATAAAAAGAATATTATATTCGTGTAGCTTTGTTTCTTAATTGAGGTCAGAGGCTTGCATAATATAATTTTATTCAACTCCTTTAATAAATTCAGTATTGAACCTACATTCATTCAATATTTCAGGATGAGTTTAGTCATCTTGTACAGCAGTGGAACATACAGAGAAGTCAGGCCTTGGAAAGAGCTCTGACAAAAATACTTTACCCACAGCTGGAGAAAGAACTTCGCCTTAAACTTATACAGGAGGCTAAAGAGGGAATTCTTAAAGTATGATATACCCACTTTTTATGCTCCCCGAAAAATTTCGGGGGAGCATATAGTCGTCTGGTTGTCCATCCGTCCGTACGTACGTCCCGAAATTCGTGTCCCGCCCATAACTTTGTTATTTGAAGTCGGATTTCAAAACTCTTTCACAGTAATGATCACCATATTGAGACGACATGTCACGCGCAACATTTGGGTCACTACCTTGAAGGTCAAGGTCACAGCATGACCTTGCAGCTAAATCGTGTCCGGCCCATTACTTTGTTATTTGAAGTCGGATTTTAAAACTTTTTCACAGAAATGATCACCATATTGAGACAATGTGTCGCGCGCAACATTTGGATGGCTACCTTGAAGGTCAAGGTCACAGCATGACCTTGCACCAAAATCTTGTCCGGTCCATTACTTCATTATTTGAAGTCGGATTTTAAAAAATATTTCACAGAAATGATCACCATATTGAGATGACGTGTCACGCGCAACATTTGGGCGGCTACCTTGAAGGTCAAGGTCACAGCATAACCTTGCAGCAAAATCGTGTCCGGCCCATTACTTTGTTATTTGAAGTCGTATTTTAAAACTTTTTCACAGAAATGATCACCATATTGAGACGACGTGTTGCGCGCAACATTTGGGTCGCTACCTTGAAAATCAAGGTGACAGCATGACCTTGCAGCAAAATCGTGTCTTGTCCATTACTTTGTTATTTGAAGTCGGATTTTAAAAATATTTCACAGAAATGATCACCACAATTAGACATTGTGTCACGCGCAACATTCGGGTCGCTACCTTAAAGGTCAAGGTCACGGCGTGACCTTGCAGCAAAATCTTGTCCGGCCCATAACTTTGTTACTGGAAGTTGGATTTAACAACTACTTCACAGAGATGATCACCATATTGAATTGACATGTCGCATGCAACATTTGGGTGTCTACCTTGAAGGTCAAGGTCACAGCATGACCTTGCAGCAAAATCATGTCCGGCGCATAACTTCATTATTTGAAGTCGGATTTTACAACTATTTCACAAAAATGACCACCATATTGAGACAATGTGTCGTGCACAATATTTGGGTTGTTTTTACACTTTGAACTTTGTCTGTGACATAACTCTGACACAACAAGAGGTATACCTTCCTGTGTCCAAAACCTATTCGGGGAGCATCACCCGGTTCAACCGGCTCTTGTATTGTACATTTATCGTGATTATGAAAATATGCTTTACGAAATAATGTAGGCCTATAAGTTTTAGACTTATCACTTGTTTTATTGTTTGCTGACTACAAATCACAAGCTCCTCAGCAATGTAGGTTCCAATTATGATAGGGATTATTTCATGCAAGGAAGCTACCAAGCTGGCTTTTAGAAGACCTGTGATTCTTCATAGGTACTCAATTCCTCCACCAGTAAACCTGAAATGTTGCCATATGACATTTATAGTGTGGATCTTACTTGAAATGAAAAAAAAAAATCATTTTGAAAACCCATATAATTTGGCATCCAGTTATTGAATTATAGAAACAATCCAAATCCAATATTTAATTTGATTGAATGTATTATTTCAGGCTTGTTGTAGAAAGTTATATAACTGGTTAAAGGTGGCACCATACCAGGCCGAACAACAGATGGAGGATGATTATGATTTTGTTGATAATGAACAAGGTGTAAGAGTGCTTGGTATTGCCTATATCAATGAACAGTAAGTGTTCCTTGTTATAATTGAGATATATTTATGTCTAGTTTTCTTTCTTTTTCATTTTTAGCTCGATTTTCCAAAGAATATACTCACCCTGGTGTCGGAGTCACACATTAAGTTTTAAGTTTTTGTGTGCAAGTTGGTCTTTCTAAAACTTCTGAAGGGAATGGGTTGAAACTTCACACACTTATTTGAGAGCATAATAAGTCAATGTCCAAGGCACATTATACACATAACTTTAACATGGATTACGATAGAATCATGGCCCTTTTTGAACCTAGAAAATTCTGTATTATCCAGGCTCATGTTTTACTATAGTAAACGTACTGAAAAGTTGATCGGAAATTTGTCACTTTTTATTTTTTTGATGAACTACATGTATATTGTAAGTATAATATTAGCTTCATTATTGAATGGAAGGAATAAAGTAATATTGTTTTACTCTATTTTCAGAGACACAACATCATTTGGATGTATGGTTAATGGGGAAGGGGAGGTAACTGACTATATCAGACTTCCATACCTGAAAAATCGAACAAGAACACAGAGGGAGAAAGAGAGAGAAGAAAAGGTTAGTCGTTGCATCTAGTTAATTTATGTAACTCTTCATGCGCTGCTGGTGATAAGGATAGGTCAGACCATCTGTATCAGCAGTATTGATCCAAGCTAGCATGCACCTTCATGTAAACTGACCAGTCTTTACTGTTGGTTGTTCAGTTTTTGTTAGCTTGTATGTTTTAAAGAAAATGTCGCGCTATTATGGTCGCGGTTGTCATCATTTTGGTGCAGCAATTTTGATGTAGTCTGTTTATTCAAATATTTTATAAGTAATCATCTTGAACTTTGAATACTTATGATGACAAAATGCAGTTGTTAGACAAGGGCCATAAATCTGAAAATTATGTTTTTGGAGTTATTTCCATTTATAAACTTAAATTTTTAATCAAAAATGGTAATTGCCTGCACCACATGCAATGCTCTTTTATTTGATTTTGATAAATCTTAAGATTATAACATACTGTTTTGAATTCAAGGTAGAACAAGTTCATTACATAAGTTAAAAAGGTTACGAACTTTGAGACATTTTGTTAAATAAATTTTACAGTCACTAATACTAATGTGGTTTATCATTATGGTTATCTTTTACAAATTGCTCAGTTTGTATTCAGAAAAATTAAGTATACTGCAGGTTACTTTAGTGATAATTGTTACAGAATGCTATTCCCCTGTTTTGGTTTCAAGTTATTATAAAGTATTTTATTATCTCACATTCCTATTATATATTTCTGTATGACATTGTAATATTTTACAGGAGAAAGATATGGAGAAATTAAAGGATTTTATTGAGACCAAGAAACCCCATGTCATAGCTGTTACTGCAGAAAATATGTAAGTTATCGGGCTTCCACTAGTGTAAGTTTGGGATTCATTTACACCTTCCAAAATATAATGGTTTTCCTTCTTTATCTATATAATGTGACTTCCAATGTGACAGATTTTGCAGTCTCTGACTTCCAAATTTTGGAACTTAATGGAAGCTCTGAATTAACTGTTACAGAGTTACTGTGTTTGGATAGAAGATGCTGTAAATAATTTCTTTCTCATCAAATATATTTACAAAATCATTTTGATTCCTAAAAATGAATGATTGAAAATAGAGCTTTGTTTGTACACCCAATCATCACTTTCTGATATATCTCATAATCTATAAGAAATATGAATTTAACTTGATGAAATACTATAAATTCCTAATAAACGCCCCTTCCCTAATAAAGGCCCCCCCAGGCCTTTTGATAAGAAAAAAAATCTACTCATCAGTGCTGAACTCTTGAGTAAATCCATAATTTCATTCAAATCATTCAGAATCCATTTTATTTTATAGTATGAACTTTAAAATCTTAACACTTTTTAATGTTATTACCAACACTTGCTAACACTTAATGTACTTTCAATGATATTTGGATTTAGGAAAAACTGTGTTGTAATAATAGCCCCCTTTTGGAAAACGTTTAGCCCCCGGGGGCGTTGCATTTTTTCATTAAATAAGAGTTAAAGTAGTGAATTTGCTTAAATTATAATAGAAAAATTATGGGATGAAAAGGACAAAGTTTGACAATAGGTCTTTATTATAGCAATTTGATTAGACACTTACCTGTTTGGTGTTTATTGATAGCCTATTGGTATTAATATTTTTAAAATAACATTTGACAGTTTCGAATTCAAAACAGGGCAAGTCTATAAATTATGTATGAGGAGGCATAATAAAACAGAAACCAGAATGTACAATACCTGTATATGTATATATATGTATGTTTCAGTGATGCGTTGATGATAGTAGATGATATAAAGAAGGTGATAGCAGAATTAGAACAAGAGGCTCAGATGCCACCTATCAGTGTTGAGTTGGTAGATAACGAACTTGCCATGGTGTATGCCAACAGTGCCAGAGGTGATGTAAGTACATCTAAAACACTTAATACATATTTATCAACCTTCCAATTTATGAATGTCCTTCAATAGCTTTCTCCTATTGTCAAGAAATGTTGCTTTTTTCTTATATTTAAATTTCATTCATGTTTTAATAAATTATTACTGTAATACTTAATATTAAGCTAGGTTAGCCGGGGAATGTTGGCAGGTCAGCAGCTTGGCAAGTTCTCGTACATTCCTCAAGGAATTCATTTTTAGTGAAGCATATTGTCAGGACTTTGAGATTTGGTCACTTTTACCATAATTATTGCCCTTTAATGTTTTTTCCCCCACAAATAAGATATTTGCACCCCCTACCCCTTCCAAAAAAACAATTGGTTTGTGACAATTTCATGTCAATTGTTATAAATAACTGCTAGCAGGTGTATGACTTGAACATAAATAAATTGGCACTTTACCTGCAGAAACAACAAAAACAACAGTAAGTTGATTACTGAATTTGAATAAAGAAAACATTGCAATAGAAACCTAAATGAATTGTTTACATACAGGAGGAGTTTAGAGAGTATCCACCAGTGTTACGACATGCAGTATGTGTGGCTAGAAGATTACAGGATCCTCTGATAGAGTTTGCCCAGTTATGTAATCAAGATGAGGACATTCTCTGTCTCAAATATCATCCTCTACAGGTACATTATATCAAATATCATCCTCTACAGGTATACTATATCAAATATCATCCTCTACAGGTACACTATATCAAATATCATCCTCTACAGGTACACTATATCAAATATTATCCTCTACAGGTACACTATATCAAATATCATCCTCTACAGGTACACTATATCAAATATTATCCTCTACAGGTACACTATATCAAATATCATCCTCTACAGGTACACTATATCAAATATCATCCTCTACAGGTACACTATATCAAATATTATCCTCTACAGGTACACTATATCAAATATCATCCTCTACAGGTATACTATATCAAATATCATCCTCTACAGGTATACTATATCAAATATCATCCTCTACAGGTATACTATATCAAATATCATCCTCTACAGGTATACTATATCAAATATCATCCTCTACAGGTATACTATATCAAATATCATCCTCTACAGGTATACTATATCAAATATCATCCTCTACAGGTATACTATATCATGATACTTTGTTCTTAATCTTCTGTGTAATCCCTGTCAAATACGTCGAATTAGAATTTTTGAAATAATTGTTATTTTCCATCAATAACTAGGGGCGTTCGTGGCCGAGTGGTTAAGGTCGTTGACTTCAAATCACTTGCCCCTCACCGCTGCGTGTCCGAATCCCGACAGGGACTTTGGATTCTTTCATGTGAAGTAGCTTAAGGAACGTCGATGGTTCTACTCAGGTGCCCGTTCGTGCCTGAAATAATGCACGGAAGGGCACATGAGGTCTTCCTCCACCAGTTAAGCTGGAACGTCGCGATATGACCTATAATGTGTCGATGTGACGTAAAACCCAAACAAACAAACCATCAATAACTATACTTTGAGCACAAGTTTCTCACTGAAATTGTATCATTTATACTCATTATTAAGGCATTATAGTTACTTTGTTGTTGACCTCCTTATTACCAGATGAATAATGTAGTAGATTCAAACAGAATTTTGCTTAAAAATTTCCTGATTTGTTACAAAAAGGATAGAAAACTAAGAAGGAATTGTTAAGTTGTTATACATATATATTTCAGGATACTTTAGCCAAGGAGGACTTGTTAAATGCTTTACATTTAGAGTTTGTCAACAGAGTAAATGAAGTTGGTGTAGATGTAAACAGAGCAATAGCCAACAGTCATACTGGAGTACTTGTGCAATTTATCTGTGGGCTCGGACCCAGGAAAGGAGCTGCTCTGCTTAGGGTAAGTTAGTTGTAGCATTCACAGAGGAGAACTTGTATAATTTCATTGTAGCAATAGACTTGGAAAAAGAAAATTTATCACAAAGGGTTTGTTAAGATTACATCTTCTTGGCATAATGATATGTCAAAATATATAAGGCTCAAAATTTTTAGTTGTAACTTATAAAATGTGTAAGTGGAAAAAAGCAAAACAAGGTGTTTTGTTACATTTCCCGCAACAGACTATAATAAACAACCCTGGTGTCTTTATAAGCCATGAAATAAACACATGTGATTTACATAAGGTCAGAGTACCATTACAGTAAAGCCTAGATAGATAAACTTTATCTACAAAATGCATTTGCTTCAGGTGAACTGAAGTCTGAACATTGTTGTATTTCTCATGCTGTGTTTTGTTTCTATTTTTAGACATTAAGACAGAACAGTTACCGTTTGGAGAATAGAACCCATCTTGTCACACTGTGTAGAATGGGTCCTAAAGTGTTCATAAACTGTGCTGGTTTCATCAAGATTGATACAAACTCTCTTGGAGACAGGTATTATATCACACAATTCTTGCCAGAGATGGAGTTTTTGAATAAAGATTTATTGAAAAGTCATGGCATTTTTAAATTAATTTGATTTAAATCCTTAAAATTGAACGAAAAACTGGAATTTTAAGATATCCATAGTAGAGCATTTACAGTTTCCGGGGTGAAAATCGATGTTAGATTGAGTGTTGTGTGTTCAAATCCATACTGGAGCATGAAATTTATTGATGCAATGAATTCATTTGGCCGGTTTATGATAATTTAGAGGTTCTGTCTTTCATTCAGGTTGTGCTTGTAATAAAATAAATGGTACACGAAAATAAAATTGTGCATCACATGTCTACTTCTACAAGTGAAGCTGAGAAACAGAAACATGGCGATAAAACCATACTGGTGCTTGCCTAAATGCAATTGATTCAAGATTCCAGGCTTACATTTCAATATTTCAAGTTTTAAATTGATGACAAACATTTTTGCTATGTAGTAAATATATTTTATGTTTTATATTTAGTACGGAAGCATATGTTGAAGTGTTGGACGGATCTCGTGTACATCCCGAATATTATGAGTGGGCCAGGAAGATGGCTGTTGACGCATTGGAATATGATGACACGGCTGAAGATGCCAACCCAGCTGGTGCTCTCGAAGAAATCTTAGAGAGCCCTGAACGTTTGAAAGATCTTGATTTAGATGCTTTTGCAGAAGAATTGGAGAGACAGGTTTGTATGGTTTTATATATGAATTTTTCAGTCAGTGTGTGTCTTCTGAAATAGTTTTAAACAGAAAAAGGTGAATTAAAAAAATGTTGATAAAGAATGCAGGAAGTTTTCTAAGGTAGCTACTATGCGGTATACCTAGATTAAAATATAGGCTTGTTCAAACGAGAAAAAACAAAACCAAGAAACCTATTTACTATTGTTTGATAAAATTTAGCATTTTCATACTGAAACCCCCAGAAATAACAATCAGTATTCCCAAATTTACAATAGTCTTTACTGGTATATAAATTAAGTGGTGTAATTGTTGGTCACTCAAGTTCTGTTGAATCATGGTTTGACCATCTCTCTGGACACAATATTGGGGATTCTACATAATTATATCTTGAGTACGGGTCTGCCAAGTACAAATAAAGATTGATCTATGTTGATACTTGCAGGGATATGGAGACAAACATATCACATTGTATGATATAAGAGCAGAATTAAATCACAGATACAAGGATCTGAGAACACCATACAGATCTCCAACCAATGAGGAAAGGTTTAACATGATCTCCAAGGAAACCCCAGACACATTCTATATTGGTAAATATTTTCCTTCTTATTTCCCATTTTTGAGCTTTTCAAGCACCACATTTGATACAAAAATTTACTGTAACTCTAATATTGGGGGCAAATCAGTTATAACCCAAATATAGCTGGGCCAGATTCTAACATTGAGTACTAATTTATAGCATTTTGATACTGAATTCCTTAAACTATAAAAACTTTGTTTCAAATACATTTGAAGCTTTAAGCAGGACATCACTGTTTAACAATTCAGCAAGATTGTTTTACGCCATACATGTAGTATTGTTACACTAATTTGTAAAATCACGTGTTTGGTACCTGATAAAGTGATTGCATATACTAGAACTTAAATAAAATATAAGTGATAACATGTGTATTTGGACATATTATTCCTTTCACTTCTGACTAATCAACTATATATGTTATGTAACAGGTAAATTATTGATTTTATGTTATATAACAGGTAAATTAATTTATTGATTGTCTATCCAGCTAGCTTACAGAATGTCGGTGGTTCTACTCAGGTGCCCGTTCGTGCCTGAAATAATGCACGGAAGGGCACCTGAGGTCTTCCTCCACCAGTAAAGCTGGAATGTCACGATATGACCTATACTGTGTCGATGTGACATAAAACCCAAAACAAACAAACAAACAAAATTTATTGATTGTATGTTATATAACAGGTATTTTTTTTATTGTATGTTATATAACAGGTATTTTATTGATTGTATGTTATATAACAGATATTTTATTGATTGTATGTTATATAACAAATATTTTATTGATTGTATGTTATATAACAGGTATTTTATTGATTGTATGTTATATAACAGATATTTGATTGATTGAATGTTATATAACAGGTATTTTATTGATTGTATATTATATGAGGTAAATTATTGATGGTACATGATACTTATATGACTAAACAACTATGTATGTTATATAACAGGTAAATTATTGATGGTATGTTATAAAATAGGTAAATTATTGATGGTATGTTATATAACAGGTAAATTATTGATGGTATGTTATATAACAGGTAAATTATTGATGGTATGTTATATAACATGTAAATTATTGATGGTATGTTATATAACAGGTAAATTATTGATGGTATGTTATATAACAGGTAAATTATTGATGGTATGTTATATAACATGTAATATATTGATGGTATGTTATATAACAGGTAAATTATTGATGGTATGTTATATAACAGGTAAATTATTGATTGTATGTTATATAACATGTAAATTATTGATGGTATGTTATATAACAGGTAAATTATTGATGGTATGTTATATAACAGGTAAATTATTGATGGTATCTTATATAACAGGTAAATTATTGATGGTATGTTATATAACAGGTAAATTATTGATGGTATGTTATATAACATGTAATATATTGATGGTATGTTATACAACATGTAATATATTGATGGTATGTTATACAACATGTAATATATTGATGGGATGTTATATAACATGTAAATTATTGATGGTATCTTATATAACAGGTAAATTATTTATGGTATGTTATATAACATGTAATATATTGATGGTATGTTATACAACATGTAATATATTGATGGTATGTTATACAACATGTAATATATTGATGGTATGTTATATAACATGTAATATATTGATGGTATGTTATACAACATGTAATATATTGATGGTATGTTATATAACATGTAATATATGGATGGGATGTTATATAACAGGTAAATTATTGGTTGTATGTTATATAACAGGTAAAATATTGGTTGTATGTTATATAACAGGTAAATTATTGATGGTATGTTATATAACAGGTAAATTATTGAAGGTATGTTATATAACAGGTAAATTATTGATGGTACGTGTCACTGGTATTGCTCATAGAAAGCCTCATGGTGAACAATTAGATCAGGCAGATCCCGTCAGGAATGAGGAGACTGGATTGTGGCAGTGTCCATTCTGTAATAAAAATGACTTCCCTGAACTCAGTGAGGTAAGTTAACTCTATATTTCAATTACACTTGGAGAATTGCAGTCTAGAATTGAAAAAATATGTGTTTTTTTTGAAATATAAATATTTTTAGGGTTTGGGCAGATGGCAGAGGTTTAAAGAATTGTTTCTTTTTTCCCCCCTGATATTGCGTTTTAATCTTTTTGAAAAAAAGGCCCCCGTTTTTTTTCTTGTACCATTTTCTTTTTGGGGGAGTTAATGGCATAACAAATGTTTTTTTTGGTGAAATTATGAGTTTATAAATGGCATACATTCTGATATGTCACCAGTACTGGTAACTCCAGGAAGCAGTCTGTAAGCTTACATTTATGTTTGAACTGAATTTAGAAAGAGCATGTGGGGGGGGGTGATGCTTCGATAATAAGAGATTAATACACGGCAGAGTAGGGCAAGAAGGTGATAATCGGCCCGCAAAATGAATAATAGCCCCGAGGGCAATGATTTGATAATTAACAGATACATCATCACCTTAGTGCAGTAACTGGCTAACTACTTATATAATATAATAGGAGTTAACCCGTTACTGCACTAAGGGCACTAAGGCGACAATATATGTAAATAGTAAGTTTCAAATGAGGATTTTTGTAACCATATATATATTGCAGGTTGGAATGATGGTACATTCAAGAATTATAAAGATTGATATTGACAGATTTACAGTAGATCTTACAACCAAATCATCTGATCTCATAGATAAAGAGAACCAATGGAAGTAAGTTATAGTGATATTTCTTTATTTTGAAAAAATATTCAGCTCAGGAAAAGGTAGAAACATTCATGGCATAAAAATTAAAATATAAAGTTTGTACAGGTAGTATCTAGTAACTGTTTAAGTAAAGATTTGTGCATTATGACTGAAAGGGTGTAATGCTTATAATTTTCCTATGGTAATTTAAGGCTGATTGAATTTTGATATTAACAGTTTGATACAAAAGATAACAGTATTATAAGGTACGAATGTTTGGGAATTGTGCATATTGCTTTCTTTTTCATGATGCAAAACTATATATTTTTTTGTACAGAATTCAATATCGTTGGCTTCCTCTTTATCTGTTGGGTTTACCTGTCTTTAATCTACCAGTTTTCAGAACAAGGTGCACTTCAGATAAAACAATTCATGAAACATCATTACTGTATTGATGGGGCATAAAAATTATGTTTAAAACTGTTAGAAATTGAGAATCCAATAAACACAGAGATAAAGTTCTTATTTTTATGTGTGAAATTTCAGACCACAAAAAGACTTATATTATGATATGGATAGAGAGAAGAATGAATCAGAACATGAAGAAGAGAAGAAGAAAATACAAGCTAGACAATGTAATGTTTATATGTTGCATCTTGTTATAAAGTCTGTACTTACAAAATTGTTATGTATATAATTCTGATTTTGAAAAATTATTGCAGTTGAAAACATTCATGTTACATTATTTGGAAAAATAATTTTGTGTTCTGGTTGTTATGTGAATTCCACTTTGATCATGGCCTCTGGTGTTTAACTAGTAAGATATGAAAGCTGTTTTGTTTAGACTTTGAAATCTATACCATTTCATGTAACAAAATTTACCTGTAGTGGAGGTTCCATTTCTTATAACCAAAGAAATACTTGTTTCATTCTTTTGACGTAAAATATGTTCAAATTCTTCTCCATGTTTATTCTTTTACAATGCAGTGGAATAAAGGCTATAAACGTATTTTTTTCTCTGACTTATAGTTTCCACATAATAAAAACAACAAAAAAAAAACAAAAAAAACTGTCAGTTGTTTGTTTTATTATTTATCTAGAATAAGTGCTAAGCCAAGACATAATATATAAGTAAAAGCAAGTTAAATTCACATGTTTGTTGGTCATGTAGTTTAAACAACATAATTAAAAAGAATGGTTAAAATGTGTTAATTTGTTCTTGATTTTATATTTCAGCATACATTAAGAGAGTTATTGCTCACCCTAACTTTCACAATATTGGTTACAAGGAATGTGAGAAGATTTTATCTAACATGGACCAGGGTGAATGTATTATACGTCCCAGGCAGTAAGTGTATAAAGGTTGATAACATTGTCTTTGTTTTTGATTTCTTTGTAATACAAAAAAAAATAACCCTAAATTTTGTCGATTGAACTAAAAATCTTGTCAAAACCTTTTTTATTTAAAAAGTTAAGATTTAAGCAGAAATTGACCAAATTAAAAAATTATTAAAAAGGATTTTCCCTTTCCCCCCTAACCCCCCCCCCAATTTACCCCAGAGCCAAAACTGATTGGAAAATACTAAAACCATTGTATTTTCCCTTTAAAAAAAAGGCAAACCCTTTGGGCTGTTTAACAAGATTTTTCACCAAAAAGAGAAAAATTTTATTTATCTTCAATTTAATAATGTATGTAAAAACCTCCTTTTAAATTTTTATTTAACTGTTAATTTTAAATTTAAATATGTCTTTATTTGAACCTGTCACTCAGCAGGGTAAAAAGTATATGTATTTAAAAGGGCATGTATACTTTAGTTTCCAGGGGGCGGGTCTCTTCAGTGACCTGGAAGGTGGCTGAAGGAGTCTTACATCATATAGATATCAAAGAGGAAGGCAAGGAAAATGCATTCAGTTTGGGATCATCGTTGTTGATAGGGGGAGAAGTTAGTTGAAATCTTGAACTATATATATTTATATTGTGTTTTGTTTAAGTTTGAAACTTAATCCACACATATACAGTAGAACTTCGGTAAGTCGAAGTTGGAGGGACTTGTGTAAAAACTTCGACACATCGGGACTTCGACTCATGAATCGGTCTGAATTTCATGACCAAATTTCAACCAGTGACTAGCCCTATTTATAAGATCTATAACGCAACCTATTTCATGTTTTTCTTCCATTCATTAATCTGATATTTTACATTATACAATGATAAATATGACACGTTAAGTAATTTTTCACGGCTAAATTGATTTAACTTATAGTAATTATTTCGCGTGTGATTATCACGCGACACCGGGTCACGGAAGTACTCAAATGATAGTTCTTACTGTAAAATACCGCTAATGCAATTAAAATAGTAACGATTAAAGCATTTTTTTCACACATTTAAACGCATACAAAGGCTGTTTGAACACTCGGCTGTGTAATTAATACCTGTCACTAAAGTTGATCGGAAATCGTCTTCGTGGCCAGAAAAGGTGTGAAAAATGTCTTGAGATCGAAGATGTCGAAATGATCGAAGTACTTCGGCTTATTTGTGGTAAATTGTTCTAGATTTATTCTATACGGACCACGGAAAAACTTCGACACATCGAAAAACTCGACACATAAAATCTCGACTCATAAGTAGGTTTTTTTAAGGAATATATAAGGAAAAAAATCGGGACTTTCATTTTACTTCGACACATCGAGAAAATCGACTAATGGAAGTTCGACTCATAGAAGTTCTACTGTATTGTGTTTTGTTAAAATCTGTTCTAAGGCTCTTAGACACATTTAACATAGTTATGAGTAATTTCTTCCTTTGTATTGATCATTTTATAGGATTAGGAATATTGTTTATGTCTGTCTGTCTGTCTGTCCCTCTGTCTAGGCTTAACATTTATCTTTACTGTTTCCGTCTCTAAATTAGAGCCTTCTTACTTAGAGACAACTAATTGCTGGACGAAAGCCTCTAAATGACTTTTTAGTTTTTACCTTCAAAGTCAAATTTTTACGATTTCACAATTACTTAATTATTTTTCAACAGAAAATAGGATTTAGTCATTTGTTTTTCTAAAACATAATCTTGTTTATATAATTTTTACTGAGCATAATAATATGAGGAGAAAATGATGTAATTTTCACTATTTAAGAGTGTTAGAAAATGACATACAATCATCATTACTAATATTTACCAGATCTGGTTTCTACATTAATGTATTTTTTTTTATCTGTTTAACTTCAGGAATTTGAAGATTTGGATGAAATCATTGCACGTTACATTCAGCCAATAGCATCACATGCTCGAGATATCATCAACTTTAAAAACTACCTGGACTCTGACTGTGGTAAAAAGGAAATTCTGGAAAAGAAATTATATGAAGATAAGAAGAAGGCACCATCTAGGTAAATATTTTTCCTGTCAGATTACAAACCCTTGTTTATTAGGTACTGGCATTAGAATGGTGTGGGTGTTTTAGGCATGTAACAGCATCATTGTTATTTAAAAAACAAAACAAAAAAAGCTTATTATTTTTTTGGTCATTTGTCTAAAATCTAGTTAAATTAACCTTATATAACCACAGTTGGACAGTTTTTCTTGAAGTTTCTGATTAGTTTTTGATGTTGTTTTTTTGGTGTCCTTGGCCAAGTCTATGACTTCAAACCACTTGCCACTCACTACTGTTGGTTCAAATCTCCCAATGGACTTAGGATTTTTTCATGTAAGAAAGCTATACAGCTAACTTCAGATCATGGGTGGTTCTTCTTATGTGTAGATTTACACCTGAAATGATGCATTGAAAAATCAACTGAAATTACTAAAAATATGCAATACTACTTCATTTATTGGAGTTAGGGAAAGTTTGAACTCAACTATAGTTAGAAGCAACTATGTTGGAAGAAGCAATAGTAAGCAATTATGATTTATAATTTTTCATTTTCTAGAATACCATATTATTTGAGCTCAACTAAACAGTACCCAGGTAAATTTCTGCTGTCCTATATGCCTCGAACAAAACCACGTCATGAATATGTCACCGTGACGATAGAAGGGTTCCGGTATAGACATAAAACTTTCCACTCAATAAACTCAATGATGAGATGGTTCAAGGAACATTTCCGAGACCCGTTGGTTGGCACGCCCAGTCACAGGACACCTGTCGGACAAACACCAAATTTCAGTCTACAAGGTTTGTATGATTATAATATAAAATGTAATATTCTAGTTGAGTTTATAGTCTTCCTGTGAGATACTGACAGCCACATTTTACGACGCAACTATAATGATGATGCTTTATGTAATAGTCCGATGATTTGGTCATGATTTAAAGAATATTTTTCTTACATCAAGGTTTTATTTTGTAGAATACAAAATGTGAACTAAGCTATTATTAATTGCCTGTGTTAACAGTTTTATGCAAGGAATTTGAAAGTACAATGGGACTGTTCTACTCGACTTGGTGTATTGTAACATTTAGGTTTGGCATACAATGTCAAGACCCATACTTGAACTCACCAGTTTCAATTCATTTAAAAATGGTGGTCTCTAGAAGTAGTTGTCTTAAACTGCTTCAAGGGGAAACAGTACATCATTTTTTCTGTGCATCATTTTTTCCTTAAAATATTTCATCCCCATGTTTTCTTGTAACAGGTGTGGATGCAGCTACTATTCAGAGAGCAGCAGCAGGTTTACCTAGCAATATCTACAACACCCTGGCCCAGGTGGCTGGTGTGACGCCTGCAGGGGTTACCCCCGGAGTTACACCCAGAGTTACACCTGGATTCACGCCAGGTTTCACACCAAGGACCGGCTTCACTCCACATACTCCACAGGTTGGAGGATCCTCTAGTAGCAACTTTGCTGGTGGTTTTAGTGGAGGATTAAATTATAGGGTAGATATTTTATTACTTAGTTCATATTTGAAATAGGTTATAATAATATAATCAAATAGTTTTTGGCTGCTCTTTTACTAATTTGTACTTTATTCATTTCAATTAATGTACTTATAATTTATAGAACATATAAGAATCAATATATTATAAAGATTCCATGCTTTATTTTAAATAACAGCCAAAGAATCCCCACTTACTATCTTCTAATAACAAATATATATCAAATATTCAGTGACATTTGGACCGCCTCTGTGGTCGAGGGGTTAGAGTCGATAACTTCTAATCCAGTTACCTCTCTGGTGTGGGTTTGATCCCCGGGAGATGCTTTGGTAGTTTAGCACGGAGGAAGGTAGTCTAGTACTGGTGTAACTCTCCAGGAACGATGGTTAGGAAACTACCCGCCTATATGACTGAAATACTGTTGGGAAAAGGCGTTAAATGAAACAAACAAACAAACAACTGACACTTGACATATTTTACTCGCTGTATCATGTTGTTGTGGGTTTTTTCAGCCTCAAAACCAAGTGGGTTCTACACCAATGATGACCCCAGCTGGTCAGGCAACCCCGTCATATCAACCAACCCCCAAATCTCAGTGGCCAGGTGCCACACCTAGAACCCCTAGAAGTAGTGGTCAATCTTCATCAGGTAAGATATATTTCTAATTACATGTTGACTTGTGGTATATATACTTGTGTCATTGTTTGAAGACCTGTTCATTGAAAATATGTTTGAGATGAATCATATATACATTAATGCACAGTGCTTTGAGTGCAGGTGTTAGTTTAAGTTACCTGCACTCCAGTTACCGCCTTTTCTGTCAGGGATTACAATAGAGCATGCTGGTAGATTTACTACATTTTTTCTTGGGTTTACTGTAAGGACAAGGTCATTGCTTTGATACAAAAGAGAAAGAACATCAAAACACTGCAATCTGACATCTGCTGGGGAGCTAAAATTTAGAAAACCATGTATTTTGATTCTCTTTTTATTACATAGTGGTATATAAGTGTTGTTATGATTGATAATTTCTGCTGTAGAAGAACACTTCCAGATTCCATCTCTTCAAAAAAAGTATAAAAAAAATTAATAATTTTTTATCAGAATTATACTGAGCTACTTTTGGTGTTAAACTTAGGTTATCAAGTAAACAAACATGTTATTAGTTTTCTTTAATCTTTCTGCAGGTGCTAAACCAGGAGGTAGTGCAGGCACAGATTGGGCCAAGGCGGCCGAAATGTGGGCCAAACATAAAAAGATGGCACCAGGTACGCCACGTAGTCCAGCTGTACGACCATCTCCACGACGTGTGGAACAGTCCCCAGCTGGAGATGCCACACCATTGTTTGACGAGAGATAAAAATAGAATATTTGAGATTTTTGAAAACTCCTGAATGTTTTATACATATTTGTCTTATCAGACAGAGAGGGTTTACAAACGGAATTTCTGTGTACAGATGAAATTGTTCTTGAATTTGTACAGAAATAATTGTGGACATGTAATGACAGAGTAGCTCTGTGTAATATAATGGCTGAGTTGGAGAGTAAGCTGATTCTGAGCTATAAATAGAATATGCCTGTAGTTGCATATGTGTACATGTTGAAAATATTGTGTTAAATAAATGTGGCCATTCGGTAGAATAGGGATGGAATAACTGTCTGCTATTTAAACAACTATTATTTAAGAATCCGTATTTAATGTGTACAGCAAAAGAAAAAGTGATATGAATTGAAAGAAGGTATTTTTGTTTTCTTTAGTTTTTTTCTTTTTTTGAAAAAAATATATGAAATAATATTTTGTACAGGATGTATCGAGTGTGTAATTTTTCTACATGCATATTCTGTAATGAGAACATTTTTCGCCTGGAGCTTAACGCAAGATAAGATTTTGAAGTTTAGAAAAAAAAACCCAACTTTTTTTAAGTGTTCATCATTTTGTCTTGGTTAAAGATAACGTTTAAAGAGTGTAGGGGTATAGTTGATCTTTTCAAAATGATTTAGGCAATGAATTCTAGAAATGTTGTTTTATATTAATATTTTGAAATGTACAAAGAATAGGACTAATATTTCTTCATAATATACTGTAAAAAATGGTCTACCTTAAAAACTTTACAGGAAGCAAAACAGTTAATTTTTTTTGTTTTTCAAACATTTTTTTTTTATTGTTTGACTGGAATAAGTGCTAGAACATAATCAATTAAGTTGAGTGTGTTTTCTGTGTACAGCATTCATAAAGTACATACTACAGCATGTATCAACATTAGAATCATTCTTTTTTGTACATATTTATTTTTCTCAGATAGCAGAGGGCTTTAATGTTTACAAATCTTTATTTATCAGAGATTGAGTGTGTCAGGAAGATAATTTAAAAATATGCTTTTGTAATTTTATTTTCTTTGATACAGTCCATTAGTCTGCTCATCTGTTGTCGTCATTTTGTAATTTCACAACATTTTTATGTCAAGAAGACAAAATTGAAGTAATTTATCATCTTGTGTCATTAATAATAGTAAAGCTACTAAAGGTTTAATCCTTGGCCTCCTGGAGGCAATAGATATGAGCCGTGTCACGACAAAACCAACATTGTGCGTTTGCGACCAGCATGCATCTGCGCATCCGCAGTCTGATCAGGATCCATGCTGTTCGCTATCAGTTTCTCTACTTGTAATAGAGTTGGTAAGCGAACAGCATGGATCCTGATCAGACTGCGCAGATGCGCAGGCTGGTCTGGATCCATGCTGGTCGCAAATGCACTATGTAGATTTTGTTGTGACGCGGCTCATATTATTCCCCATGTGACCAGTGCAGACAAGACGTTCATGCTGTCTGCTCATATTCTGCATTGTTCGCTATTCACTAAGTACTAATTTTGAAAAAATTAAATAGTCCTTTTTGAAAGCTGAACAAGCATGAAAAGGTTCAAACATTGTGTTGCTTACATTCTTTTCGTAAATGGTTTTACACTTGAATAATTAAAGACGTGCATTTTGTATTGTATAAATATATTTTTTCATTGTTGCGCTGCGTGAATCATTGGACTCATGTTCATTGCAATAAAAGTCATAAAAACCAGGAGATATTGTGTTATGATTTAAATATCCATGTTTTCTTTGATTATATGTAAAAGCATTGCAGTGTATGTCAAAGATGGTAGGATATAAGTTTTACAAAATTAAGCAATAGTAATAGAAAAACAAAATTTGGTTATAAGTTTTAGGTTTCACAAACTTGTTCTCACTTGTCACACATTGTTTTAAGTACCACATATTTATGCCAAGCTTTTTAAAAATCTGCCCATGAATGACTACAGACTGGAAATTGCTTACTGTTAAACAATACATCGAGATATACAATTACTTGTAACATCCAAGTGTGACCCTGACCTTTGGCCTGCTGGATTTACTCCTGTGCTCTACATGTCTTAAATAAGCTGCTGTATATTGTAGCATTTATTTCAAAATATATCCATGATGGACAGAATCATTGACTGGACTCAACCATTCATAATCTGTTTTAAGAAAATTATGTTTTGAAGTCTGTGACCTTGACCTTTGAGCTTCAAACTTGGGTGTGATAGATCTCAAAATGCCACACATATATAAGCCCAATAGTTACAAAATCCATTCATTTATGAGAAATTCATAGACCAGACAAAACCATAGTCGCAACTATAAACAAAGTGTGGCTTTGAGATGCTGGCCTGGCTCTTGGGCATGACACAACTCCTGATTTTGCCTACATCCAGGCCAAATTATTTTTTAAGTCATTTTATGAATGACAAAATTGTTGACTGGAACAAATATCATTGTACTTAAACAAAAACTTATCTTTCAAGTTAAGAGTAACCTTGACCTTTAAGGTACAAATCTGGTTCTACCATGTGACACATTGCCTCAATGTGCAAAAAATGTATACATAATTCTTTCAAAATCCATCCATGAATAAAAAATTATGCCCAAGACACGATTATCCACAATTTTATGACTTGACATACAAGTGTAACCTTGACCTTCGAACTGGAAAACTAATTCTTGCATGCAACAAATCATTAGCAACACATTTTTATACCCCCGCACAACAACAAATTCTGTCCGGAAACTGGTTCCTGCCCAGTATAGTAATTTCCAAATATAAAAAAGAAATACAGTATTAATTAAAATACATGTATATATATTAAAAACACATGTGGATTTATATTTGCTTTATTATTTTCTTATTCTGTATAACAATAATAACATAATACTTGTATATGAAATTAATATGGCTAGTGGTTTTAACAAGGATTTCTCATATATTTATAAATATTTTAATTAGTAATACTATTGAAATTAATATGGCAACTGTGTGGATGATTACAGAAGATTTCTGAAGTACGAGGGATGATCTAGAAATATCCAGAATTAAGTCGTAGATTCAATATTTTTTATTGAAGATGCATATTACAACCTGACTATATTTGTTTGTAATATATCCCCTCTACAAGAAAAACAAAATTATTATAACAAAACACATTATGACTAAGTAAACATCTGTTTCATAAGTAATGTGCATACATCGCAGTTTGTATGCTGTGACAATGTCATTTTAGGTGGACTGAAACTGTACCGAACAATAATTATGTAATATTGTTGTATATTGGATGAAACATTACACAGGTAAAAATTTGTTGAAGACAACATGGAAACAGTCAAGACTTATTTACAAATTCTGGGTTTTCTTAGAATATGAGGGATGCCCTCATATTAAACTTTTTACCAAAATAAAGAAAATAAATAGAATCCTACTTATGGTAGTCTTACTGCAATGTTTTCCCGCCAAAAACTTTCTATCATCGGCCAATATCGTAATAAATCAGTCATTTCTGGAACATTATTTTTCACAATATTTGGTATTCAATAATTTTTAACCATTTATAACCGTAATAGCGATAAAGAATGAGTGATTGTAAATAATCTAATGCCCAAGCTTTTGAAAAAATTATGTTCCAAAAATAACCAATTTGCTATGATAATGGCCGATGGCAACAACAACGAAACTCTAGCAATCATAATAGTTTGACTTTTTCTTCAAAACAGAAAAGTTTAAATAAATATGAATATAGAATTCACAACATTATGCTTTCTTAAAAATAATAAAAGAAAATATCAATTAATGCAAATTAAATACATTGTAACAAGATAATTACACTGCACAACAAAAGATATTGCAACTATACTGTAGTACAAAAGATATTGACTTGATTACAACATATTTTTTCTCTGGAGTAATAAAAATAGAGGTTAGTATTATAACACTTTACTTCTGTGATTTCTTTAAATATTCCTTCATTTGTACAATAAATTTGTTTTAAACATAGACAAGATCTAAAATAAAATTTAACTGCAAAGAAAACAGAAAAAGATACAAAAACCTGAAAAAAGAAAGAAGTTTGCTATAATCATGGCTTCAAACTCTAACATTAAAGTACAATTTCAAACACAAAATGAGTGATTTGACAAAATGACAAGTTTCAAAATGTGGATTAAAAAGGTGACCAAGCCTCTTAAAAAAATAAAATTGAAAAAATATAATTTGACTGACATATAGGTGTATATAAGCATGCAAAAAGTGATACTTTTGCTAGATACTAAGCTAAGACAATTTTGATTTTTGTTGAAATTTACATTTGTATATATACATATACATGAGCAACAGGTAAATGTAATAAATAAACATAATACTGTAATAATCTATTTGTTTTTTTAACTTCATTATGTGTGAACACATTGAAATATATGTTATTAAACATAAAAATACATAATGCCCAGAAACTGCCCTAATAAAAATGAGTAACTTTCGGAACTCAACAAATTTTTTTAAAAAATCGGTAAATGAGCAAACTATGAAAAAAAAAGGAAAATAACACCAAAATTTACAGTATCAATAATTTATCAATATGAATGTTGTATTTAGTATAAACATTATTTAATTTAGGTAAACATGGTCCTGAGCAGAGTAGGGCTGAAACCCATGATCCCAGGGTTGAGAGCTAATCATCAATATAATTACTTTTTTGAATGTAGCATAAAGATAGAGAAATGTGCAGAAATTAAAATGTCCTTTATTGCGCTCTTGATTATCAGCTCACAGTATTTAACAGAAACAATATAGATTGTCTAGGTCTATTTAGATTGTCAAGGTCTATTTGAACACAAGAAATGTGTCCATAGGACACAGACGGATGCCTCATATTCCACACTGTTTTGTCGGTCTACAGTAAGACAGTGTGACAAGGCAAATTTATAACCCCATCCCCTTTTATAGGTGGCATAATAGTTTGAACTCTTACCCTGCTAAATTTGTAAAATGCAATATCAAATAATTCCTGCATGGAATCTGTAACTATTTCTAATGATAAAAGACATACTAAAATCAAGATACAAATACTGATCAGCTCACAATAAAGGGTCTGGTCAAATGCAAAACCTTGTGGTATAAAGATCAGAAGTTCAAAAAGTGAACTGGTATGAAATAAAGAAGTTACATTATAAACATCCTTTTCACAACCCTCACTTTCATCATTAATTGCATTTCAAGACTAGTATAAGTACAAAATTATATGTATATTATATTATTTTAAATAAAATAAAATGCATAAACAACACAATTTTATTATAAAGCACCTGGGTACAAGTGTTAGTATTATAACACAGTCATAAACAAGAGGGCCATGATGGCCCTGAAATTGCTCACCTGTATATAGGCCCCTAGGGCGGGCAAATTTTAACCTGGGGCTTTTATTTGAACAAACTTGGTAGACACCCATTAGAAGATGTTTCATGATGATTTGAGTTTTTCAAAAGAAGACTTTTTAAGTTTTTACTATATACATAAAGGGAAAAACAATAATCCCCTGGCACGGAGCAAATTTTGACACTAGGGCTTTTATTTGAACAATCTTGGTAGTCACCCACTAGAAGATGTTTCATGATTAATATCTAAGCTCTAGATATTTGGTTTTTTTAAAAGAAGATTGTTTAAGTTATTATAAACAACTAAGGAAAATCAATGACCCCCGGGGCGGGGCCAATTTTGAGCCCAGGTCTTTTATTTGAATAATCTTGGTAGACACTGACTAGAGGATGCTTCATGCCAAAGATTTAAGCTCTAGCTCTTTCAGTTACCATGGCGACCAGAGTTCTGCATGGAATTGGATTCTTTGAACAATTTTCAAAATTTCAGATGAAAAGCAATCACAAAAGCTCACCATGTCACTTTGTGACAGGTGAGCTAAAGTTGAAATTTCAACAGAATGTATAAATGACAACCTAAATTTCATACTATTGAAAGAATTTTTTCTATCTAAAATCCAGTTTAAAATGAAAACAAGAGGCACAAGTAGGTTGATATCACTCACCTGAATAAATTGAACAGAAGATATATGTCAAGCAGCTTTTTGGGGTCCTAGATATGCACATAATTGTAATGATATCAGTTTAACATTTTACATTTTTTTACCTTGACCTTGACAAGTCAGCATAATTCCATGAATGCTTGAAAAGGCAACTCGTATTTTCACACAAATTAGAAATTATGACCCATGATGATATTTGCATGATACAAGTTAAACAACCAGACACAGGGCCTTGACAATTTTGATACCTTCCTAACACATCTACAGATCAGGGTAAGGGACTGTCAATTTGACAAGTCAGACAGAATGATTCACGATAGGATCGTATTCAGAAGTTAAAGTGAAAATAATGAAGGTGACAAACTAACACTTGAAAAAACAATACACATCATGCAAAACATGAAATATTGCCAAGAACTGTTAAGGACAATAGGCAGAGAAAATGTAGACACCGTCAAACAAAGAAACAAGAGCCCGGTTTGAGCCGGGTGATGCTCCCCGAAAAGGTTTTGGACACAGGAAAGTACACCTCTTGTAGTTTCAGAGTTATGTCCGTGGAAAAAGTTCAAAGTGCAATTATTCCAAAATTAGGCAAGGCAGAGTTACAGTTCTTTGCACTGCACTTCTAATCAATGTGATCTATCAACCTACAAAGTTTCTTGATGATATCTCTTATGATTTCCGAGTTATGTCCTGGACAATTCAAAAAGTAAAAATAAACAAAGGGCAATAACTCCAGAATTAGGCAAGGTAGAGTTATGATTCTTGTGCACTGCACATCTACCCATTGAGATTTATCTACCTACAAAGTTTCATGTTGATATCTCTTATAGTTTTACAGCTATGTCCTGGACAAGATTTTTCTAAAAGGGGAGATTATTCAAAAATAAGGCTTAACAGAGTTACGGTTCTTTTGCACTGCACCTCTACTCAATGAGATCTATCTACCTACAATGTTTCATGTTGATATCTCTTATAGTTTTAGAGTTATGCCCCGGACAAGATTTTTCTATAAGGGGAGATAATTCAAAAATCAGGCAAAATAGAGTTATGGTTCTTTGACACTGCAATCCCCCTCGATGCCCCTAACCACAGTATGAAGTTTCAACAAATTATCTCCAAGGGTTTTCAAGTTATGCTCCGGACAAGACAACGGACGGACAGACGGACGGACGGACAGACGGACAGACGGACAAGGCGCCGACTAAATGCTCCCCCGAAATTTTTCGGGGAGCATAATAAACACCCTAATCATCGCCAGCACCATCATCATCATCAACAACAACAACAAATTGACTAACACAAACAAGCAGCAGGAAACTCCAAGGCTGGAAATTGCTCAAACTGTGGACAAAAGAAGCACATCTGTCAAGGCAAAAACTTGACATGCCATTATTGTGGAAACTTAAACCATTTTGCCAGTGTATGTAGATCAAAAAACAGGAATGTACATAACATTTGTTCTGTAAATGGATTTTAAAAAAGTGTTTCAGGTGCAGAGGAAAATACAGAATTTTGCAAAGACACGGTAAATTTTTCTTCTCTTACTGAACGTGCATTCGTCCAAATAAAGGTTGGCCCTTTCCACATACCTCAATTTCAAATTAGACACAGCTAGCTGAAGAAACTCAACATAAATGATTACATCCTCCAGAGGCTGGTCTACCCAGGTAAAAGTAAATGACACATTAGGCCAGATGCAATACCTATCATTTATCCGCCCGCACGGTTCCTGAGGCACTAAGAGATCGATTAAAACTGAACTTAGCACATGGAGAAAGAGAGGATAATAACAAAAGTAACAGAATCTACAGATTTTGTTAATTCTCTTCTGATATTTGAGAAAAAAATAGGGAAATTGAGGATATGTATTGACCCTAAAAACCTCAATGACGCAATATGATGGCCACATTACCCTTTGACAACTAATGACAACATGGCATCACACCTGACGGACGCAAAATATTTCAGCATACTAGACATTACAAATGCTTATTGGAGTGTAAAACTAGACGAAAAGTCATCTTTTCTGAAGACCTTTAGCACAATATTTGGCAGATACCACTCGCTTAGACTTCCGTATGGTATTTCAGCATCAAGCTATAAAAATTATTATCTTCATGCAGAAAATTGACGAAATTTTTGAGGGATTTGACGGTTGACAACATTTTGATTTACAGAAGATCGCGAGAGGAGAACTACACAAACTTACACAGGGCTCTTGACAAGGCTAAGTAAGTAGGTATTAAGTTGAACCCAGATAAATGTGTCATAGAAGTGTCTTTCTTCGGACACCTCATCACATCAACAGTACTGAAACCTGATCCCTTGAAAATAAAGGCAATAACAAATCTAAAAGTTCCATCGACAAAAACAAGAGTTAGAGCATAAGCTCGACATGGCATTTTTTTTACAAAAATTTGCACTAAACTTGGCCGAGGGCACCAGTCCAATGAGAAGATTATTGAAAAAAGATGTCAATTTCATGTGGGATGTTCATGTCATTTGACAAAATAAAAACGATTGTGACAGAAAGTCTGGTATTGGCTTATTTTGATCACAATAAGCCAGAAAGCCAGAAAGACTGGGATCTGACAAATATGGAAGTGGGTCTGTTATATTCCAAGATGTCCGCCCAGTAGCATTTGCATCCAAGACATTGACCCACACAGAGTCACACTACACAGACATAGAAAGAAAATTAAACGCAATAGTATTTGCATGTACACGGTTTCATCAATATGTTTATGGCAGAACAGTGACTGTACACAGTGACTTAACGTTATGCGCAATCATGCAGAAAAATCTTTGTGCATGTCCTCCTTGGTTACAGAGGAAGTGACTGACAATGAGCAAATATGACTTGAATGTCAAATTTGTACCTGGTTAGCAAATACCAGTAAGCAATAAGCTGTCCAGAATGCCTCTCAAGGATATATTCAACAATGAAGACTTTGACCAACAAATAGATACTGTACTCAAAGGGTCATCAATAACTGACTGCAGACTTGATTCACTGAAGCATGATGCAAAAACATGAATCTGTTTAAGCAGACGATGACTGATTTTAGGGATTTTATTTGAACAAACTTGGTAGAAATCTATAAAAAGATGTTTCATGCCAAATATCTAAGCTCTACCTCTTCTGGATTTTCACAAGAAAATTTTTCAAGTTTTTATTATATACATATAAGGAAAATCATTGACCCCTGGAGCGGGTCAATTTTGACCCTAAAGCTTTTATTTGAACAAACTTGGTAAACATCTACTAGAAGATATTTCATGCCAAATATCTTAGCTCTAGCTCTTTCAGTTTTTTTACAGATTTTTGTAAAAACAATCTTTCGGTTGCCATGGCAACCAGAGTTTTTCATGGAATTTAATTCTTTGAACAACTTTGGTAGAGCTTCATGCAAGAAACATCCCTGCAATGATTCAACAGATTTGGCCAAGTGGTTTAGGAGAAGTTGTTTAAAGAAATAGTTGACGCACGAACACACGCACACACTTATGCACGTTGGACAATGGACAATGGGCAATCACAAAAGCTCACCTTGAGGACATTGTCCTCAGGTGAGCTATAAATTACTCATTTTATCTAAAAAGTCCTCCTGAAAAATAAAAAATCTTTGAAAAAATTATTTTTTTAAATATTATTAGTTTGATTATACATGTACGTATTTTAAATAGATAATAATAAGATATTAATTAAATTAAATAGTGTATAACAAAAGAGTACAAATTTAATTAAATGTACCCAATACATGTAATACAACAATTTTTAACTTAATTTTTTCAAATTAAAACTGATTTCTACTTTTAAAAATTGAAAACCTATATTTTTATTTTCCCAGCAACAAAAAATTTAAAAAAGGAAAAATATTTTACTTTTAAATGTCAAAACATAAAGTCCATTCTTCAATGGAACAAAAAATATTTCAAAGTTCTACATTATAAATACTGTACATTTTGTACTTTCAAAAAGTCAAAAGTTTGATGTTCTTTGATATAAATGAATAATTCTAACACGACCCGTATTTTTCCCTATTGAACATAGAAGAACCGAAAGTGTGTGTTATTATGCTATAAAGTCACAGTTTGACGTTCTATATTTAGATATGTGACGTAATCATTATACACGTGACGTAACCACTGAAAATGTGACGCGCTGAAAATAAGTACGTAAACAAATCAGTCGCAATTTTGCTTAATATCAGGTACAGCAGCATTGATTTGTTGATGTCGTGTTAGAATCGAAATAATATATCAAAATCGGTGATTTTATCGCTTGATAACATCACTGTTTGTCGTTCGGATGCGCATCATTATATCACTCGGGCTACGCCCTCGTGATATAATTCGTCGCATCCGAACTCCAAACAGTGATGTTATTGAGCGATAAAATCACTGTTTGGGATATATTATTTCTTAAATATACTGTACAAAGATATTGCTGAGTAAACATTTTATCACACATAATTATGAATCTTAAGGATTTCAAATTAAAGTGGTTTTTTAGTTTTAAAAACTAAAAATGTAAGTTTTATTCCAATCTGAAAATGAAAATAGAAATTAAAAATGTGATGATACCACAACCTAAATTCTCCACAAAAACAAATGAGCCGCGTCACGACAAAACCAACATAGTGCGTTTGCGACCAGCATGGATCCAGACCAGCCTGCGCATCCGCACAGTCTGATCAGGATCCATGCTGTTCGCTATCAGTATCTCTACTTGTAATAGGGTTTGTAAGCAAACAGCATGGATCCTGATCAGACTGCGTGGATGCGCAGGCTGGTCTGGATCCATGCTGGTCACAAACGCACTATGTTGGTTTTGTCGTGACGCGGCTCAAATGTGTATAGAATTACATTATCTTTAGCCCTTATCAACTAATCTTCTGATAAAAAAAAATCCATAACATACAAAATAACAATAACCTTTTGGAGTAAAATAGGTTTTAACAATGTCCTATACACAGCAACCCAACCTTCTTCATCTTCTTTGAAATTATTTAAATCCAAGAATTGTTTTATCTAAGAGTTATACCAAGGTAGATGGTTGATATCAGTGTTGCCACCACAGAGGATTACACCAACATTCTGTATACTGTCATCCATGTTCCTCATTTTCTCAGACATGGCTGCAGCTACACCAGCTCCTGATGCAGCCTCTATCACTAACTAGAAATAATGTAATATGGATAGTTATAGTACTGTAGGTGGTCAATATGAAAATTATCAATATGGTGTGGATATACAGTATTCATCATTAGAAGCAACATGTCTTTATATTTATGCTTTGTTTCTGAATATTAAGAAAAAAATATATTAGAAAGTGAATACAGGTACTGTGAAATGAACTTTTAAAGTAATTAAAGCTAGATTTACAGTCAAGACACATGAATTATCTTAAATTATACTAAATGAGCCAACCGGACGTCCACTGGTTGGCTCTATACTGGTGGCAATTATTCTTATTTTTATACTTGCTTAAGCTAAAACATTAACACAGTATTGATTTATTGAACAAAACTTACCTTCATTCTTTCAAAACAAAACTTCATTCCTTCAATTATTTCATCATTGTTCTAAAATGGAAATGACAAAAATTGATAAGATTTGTGTCTTTGATGCAATAAACATCAACCAATATAGATGTTGAGCACAAAAGACATGACAGACTTGACTTGTTACCTTTGGGAGGGTCAAATAACACATTAACATGCCAGTATTTTATCTGTTGTGATGAGTTATGTTAACTATCTGACTTTAATGACCACCTAATCCTTACCTGCTGAAATTGACTACATTTTGTATTTTCAAATCTTTATCTTGATATTCTCAAAAATTATGAAATGAGCCGTGTCACGACAAAACCAACATAATGGGTTTGCGACCAGCATGGATCCAGACCAGCCTGCGCATCCGCGCAGTCTGATCAGGATCCATGCTGTTCGCTTTCAGTTTCCTACTTTTGTTTTAAAGAAAAGCGGGGCCGTCAGTGCGCAGGGGCTGGTCTTGATCCTGCTGGTCGAAAAGCACTATGTTGGTTTTGTCGTGACGCGGCTCAAATGAACAATTCAAAAATGGTAGCTTGATGTAAGACTTTTTTAAGAAATTCAGCAGGTTAAAAGTCTTCCAAGACTGGTCTGTAGAGAAAAAACTTAATTCAATGAAATACAAGTAATGTCCTAAGTAGTAAGAAATGGGTCAAACTTTCAGTAAAACTCCCTGTAACTTATACCCTAAAAATTTAAAAATTAAAAGAGACTTACCTTGGTTAAGTTAAAGTTTGATTTCAATTCTTTGAGTAAGAATTGAGTGAGGGGCTTAACTACAAATCATAACAAACCTCTCTTTTGAAAATAAGCCTGTCTAAAAAATAAGCTACCATTTTCACGTGTATTTCACTCATTGAGTAAGATGTATTTTCAAGCAATTCAAGAGAAATGAAAGTGGTTGTATTTAATATATTTCATATCGTAGATAAGGAAATTTTGTATACTTACAAGTGAGAAAACTTGTTTCTCTACAAGCTCCAGAATGATTGGCCAGGTCACATGACCTAGTTGTTGTAATCTTATACCATCTGCTATAGTGTTGAGGAATCTCGGTGGATTTGGCCATAATCGCTCACCTACAAATACAATAACATATTTACATTTAAATGATATCAATACATCACTGATTTCAATAATCAAGTACTCAGCCATTATTCAGTTAGTAGAATATTCAGTTACTTTTTTATGACCATCATATTTTTACACTGTAATTTACATCAAAAAAATTCTCTACTTCTAAAATGTATAATTGGTTAATTAGTTTAATCATCTTCTCTTGTTCAGAATTTGGAACTTATAATAAAATGTTCTCACTGTAGACTAGTGGTTTCAATATGAAAACACTTTTATAAAGCAGCCATAATGCAATATATAGACTGGTTAAGCTGAAAGGAAATGCAGTCCAGTCTGGTTCTATACTGACAGTACATGCATGTCAACATTGCCTCTAGTACTCTAACAGTCGGTGACTTACCTGCCTGTAAACATCTCTCTACATCTTTACCCTGAGGCTCAACAATAAACACTGAAGAAGTAAAAAAACAAGATTGCATCTGTGAAAAAATGCTATGCCACCCCATTAATACAACACTAAATAGTAGAAACAGAAGTAGATTTATTTTGTTGCTACACAATTGAAAGTTGCCTAGTGAATATTTCAGCATTTCAAATGAAAGACAATGTGCAGAAAGATGTGTCTAATGTTCAGATACAAAGGCCATAGTATAACAAGCAATTATCATAGTATTGCAAGCAATCCATAAGTCCCCTACCGGTTAGAACCCCATCAACATTCTGAAGGGCAATTGGCCATTCACTTATGTTTCAATTTTTCTCTATTTTAAGTAAACTTGTTGGAAAAGTTCTTTAAAAGTGATCACAGGAAACAGTTTTTATGAACAGACAGACAGACGGACTGAAGGACACTCTAAAGTTAATATTTGAAACATCCCTGTTACCAAAATATAACATTTTAAAAGCAAAATTCTTAAAGAGGAGATAACTCTTGAATTAAAGATGCAATTTCATAAAAATTTTCAGCTCTTTTTGACTAATCACAAATATTGTTATATTTGCCATGTTTTAAGCCTATGTGTTGCCAAGGCAACTAATATTTTTTCAAAATAGGAAGAACAGATAAGACATGCAAAATCTCAACACTGCTATCTACCCATATGTCAAGTTTCATAAAAATATTTCCAGTACTTTTTGAGTTATCACTGGATTCAGTTTATGTGTAAAATTTGCCATATTTTCAGTCTATGTGTTGCAATAGCAACCAGAATTTTCAACATAGGAAGAAAAAAAAAAGACGTGCATAATCTCAAGACTGCCATCTACCCATATGTCAAGTTTCATAAAAATATTTCCAGTACTTTTTGCTTTATCACTGGATCCAGTTTATGTGTAAAATTTGTCATATTTTTAGCCTATTTGTTGCCATAGCAACCAGAATTTTCAACATAGGAAGAAAAGAAAAAGACGTGCATAATCTCCATACTGCCATCTATCCATATACCAAGTTTCATAAAAATATTTTCAGTACTTTTTAAGTTATCGCAGGATCCAGTTTTGTGGACGGACGGACTGACGACAGACGGACCGCCGAAATGGAATAAGGGGCCATTTCTTTTGTTATTTTCTATTGTTTAATAGAGGGCCAATGGCCCCTTACTCTATTGTTACGGAATGAACTCTATTGTTCTCTTTTGTTCTGTTTACAGTTAGATGGCCCCCTATCCTTATTCGGTAGTGCGGACGGACAGACGGACGGAGGGTAAACCTAAAGTCCCCTCCGGTAAACCGGTAGGGGACTAATAAACAATTCAAAACAAAAGTATTCTTAGTTGATAAAAATTTTGATATTTACGTATTACATAGCTGTATTAAACTTTGAAATACAGTAACAGTTACTTTTCAATTATTAAGCATTACCTATTTATGAAAACATAAAAAGTCATCTTTTGCTTTGGGAAGTCACTGGTTGCTATTGAAATCTATGGTTGCTTTGGAAAGTCACTAGTTGCTATAAAGGTCAATGGTTGCTATAGAAAGTTACAGGTTACTGGTTGCTATGGAAAATTAATGGTTGCCATAGAAATGCACCTGTTGCTATGGGAAATCACTGGTTGCTAAAGAGGTCTTTGTTTGCCATGTAATGTCAATGGTTGCTATGGGAAGTCAGTGGTTGCTATGGAAAGTCACTGGCTGCTTTGGAAGTCAGTGGTTACTGCAGATAGTCACTGGTTGCTAAGGAAATGAATTGTTGCTATGGAAAGTCAGTGGTTGCTATGGAAAGTCACTGGTTGCTATAAAAGTCACATTTAAGGAAAATTTTATGTTTGAACAATGTTTGTTGAGGTCCACCAAAAAAATGTTTCATACCAAATATCTAAACTAAAGCCTCTAAAGCATAATAGCATTGATACTGTTTATTACGATGCCTTTAATATGTTCATTAAATTGTATAAAAAATTACGAAAATGTAATAAGCAACATATATATTAGTTTCTTTTAACCTATTTAGAATACCAGAAGAATATAAAAACAAAGAAAATTTGAGATGCTAATATAATAATCAGCACTTCAATGATACAGAATAAAGATTGTTATTATCAAATAATGATTGAGAAGTACAAGTTATGTATAACCTTTGACATCTGGTTTTATAAACTTTGCTGCTATGGCGATACCGGCCACCATTCCTCCACCACTGGAAGGTACAAGGATCGCGTCTAGTTCCGGTACCTGCTCGAGAAACTCCACAGCTATTGTGCCCTGAAATAGTCATAGGCAAACAATTTAATCATGAACCCCACAGCAGCTATTGTGCCCTGAAATATTCATAGGCATTCAATTTAATCATAAACTCCACAGATATTGTGCCCTGATAATCATAGATCATGTTTTTCTTTTAAAGCTAGATTGTGGTACAGAGGTTCAAGCCTATAATTTCTAAATTTCATAATAAAAATTGCAGAATGAATAAACATAGGGTTGATATAAGAAATTGTAATGTAAATGCAATTCCCATGTTGCAAACCACTTTGTATCACATGATAATAACTGTACAATGTTAGATTACAATTTTTGCCTACAGTATAGAAATTGTAAATACATGAAACAGCATAGACTGTTTATATAAACAATAATTTTAAATCCCTAACTTAAAAACCATGATTCTAAATGTCCTTAATAATAAGATATTGTTTCATTTATAAACATCTGACTGTGTTACAAATGATTATTATCATGTTTGTCTATTATCTACTTTTATTAACACAGTCTAGTAGGCATTTTAATCATTATTGATCCATTTTTATTCATTTACCAGCTTCATTTATAACATTGATATTAATTTTGTTTGTTTGAAATGTTATCACATTTTATCATAATGTTTTTCGAGTGTATAACGGGTGTTCCTTTATAACATGACTTTCGAGCCATTTTATTGTTATGAACTAACAATGGCATCTAGCCAAACTGGTTGCATTACATAAATACTACATGTTTGTGTCTGTGTGTCTTGTTTGTTTATATCAAGATACAGACACATGAACTAGCAGGCGACCACCTCCCTTGAAATATTCATTTCCAATTCAAACAAACCATGAAGTAATAGTAACATTAGAAGGCCAATTTAGATGTCAATACAACTGTAAACAATTATTTATTTCTATTATAATAAAACAGCAGCTGTTGCTTATTTTAAAACAGCTGCTAACATGCATGTCAACCCCCCCCCCCCCTCATTGAACTACAAAAGCTATTTTTGTATTAATATCTTTGTTCTACCATTTGAACAGTAGATGTGTAGTTTTTATCAATTCTACTACGGACACATGTATTTTTAGTTACAAAACTTTTTCAAGATGGATGTAAAATATGATTTTTCAAGTAAATCATCTTAAAACCAGTTTAATGTGGCGGCATGGCAGAGTGGTTTACGCATCAAACTAGTAATCTAAGGACTTCTGGCTGCATAGGTTCAAACCTTGTCCAGGGCAAGCTGCTGTTTTGTGAGCAAGAAACTTTACACTCATTGCTTAGTACTGGTTTGTTCCTGGAACAGATTGGAAAGTGTTTCAATAAGCTTATAGCTTCCAACACAATCAAACTAAAATAAATTCTAAAACCATTTTTAAAGTTTATTAATCCATTCAACCCTAGAAAAATGTGCCATTGTGCATGTATTGTGCAGAAAATTGTTCCATTGTGCATGTATTGTTTAGAAAAATGTTTCATTGTGCATGTATTATTTAGAAAAAGGTTCCATTGTGCATGTATTGTGTAGAAAAATGTTCCATTGTGCATGTATTATGTAGAAAAATGTGCCATTGTGCATGTATTGTGTAGAAAAATGTTCTATTGTGCATGTATTGTGTAGAAAAATGTGCCATTGTGCATGTATTGTGTAGAAAAATGTTCCATTGTGCATGTATTGTGTAGAAAAATGTTTCATTGTGCATTTATTATTTAGAAAAAGGTTCCATTGTACATGTATTGTGTACAAAAAGGTTCCATTGTGCATGTATTGTGTAGAAAAATGTTACATTGTGCCTGTATTGTTTAGAACAATGTTACATTGTGCATGTATTGTTTAGAACAATGTTACATTGTGCATGTATTGTGTAGAACAATGTTACATTGTGCCTGTATTGTGTAGAAAAATGTTCCATTGTGCATGTATTGTGTAGAAAAATGTTCCATTGTGCCTGTATTGTGTAGAACAATGTTCCATTGTGCCTGTATTGTGTAGAAAAATGTTCCATTGTGCCTGTATTGTGTAGAAAAATGTCCCAATCTGCATGTATTGTGTAGAAAAATGTGCCATTGTGCATGTATTGTTTAGAAAAATGAGTCATTGTGTATGTATTGTGTAGAAAAATGTCCCAATCTGCATGTATTGTGTAGAAAAATATGCCATTGTGCATGTTTTGTTTAGAAAAATGTTCCATTGTGCATGTATTGTGTAGAAAAAGGTTCTATTGTGCATGTATTGTGTAGAAAAATGTTACATTAAGCATGAATTGTGTAGAAAAATGTGTCATTGTGCATGTTTTGTGTAGAAAAAGGTCCCATTCTGTATGTATTGTGTAGAAAAATGTGCCATTGTGCATGTATTGTGTAGAAAATTGTTCTATTGTGCATGTATTGTTTAGAAAAATGTTTCATTGTGCATGTATTGTGTAGAAAAATGTGTCATTGTGCATGTATTGTTTAGAAAAATGTTCCATTGTGCATGTTTTGTGTAGAAAAATGTTCCATTGTGCATGTATTGCGTAGAAAAATGTTCCATTGTGCATGTTTTGTTTAGAAAAATGTTCCATTGTGCATGACTTGTATTGTGTAGAAAAATGTTCCATTGTCACCGTGGGTAAGCAACTTTGGTCACGTGACCACAAAAGTCAACGTACAGGGCCAAAATACCTCGGCTGAGGTAAGTTTTTAAGTGATTATTTTTATGTCCAACCGATTTAAATTATGCTACATAGCCTACCGACCGCGGCAATTCCGATGCTTTCTAAAAATGTATTTAGTTTCGTCTAACGTTTTGTACTTTTTGAGAACATTCAAACAATATTTGCAAATTGTCGATGACAACGTACACACTATTGTGTAAAAGTGTTGATGAAAGCTTAATAAACGATACGCATGTCATTTCTTAGTAAAATTTCAGGTCTTAAAATATATAAGAGAATGTTTTAATGAAAAAGGAACTAGTTTCCTGCTGTAATTTTTTGTATTTATTTAAAAATTTACCAACTTACAGAAATGTCAACGTACACATACAGTCTAGAAAATGCCAACGTACACACTCACAATTCAGTTTGATAGTGGTCTGAACATAAGGCTGCAACTTCGGAGTAGGTGGCTTTTTCTAACAAAAAGTTAGCTTTCAATTTAGATTGCCCTCTCAAATGTATATAAGTACAGGTTTATACAAAGGAAAAAAGTTGCAAGTACATTCATATCATCACAAATAAGCTTAAACAACCTTTAACTTTTTTAAAATGTTATTTATTTGTTCTTTTGTGGTTTTCTTTTAGAAGAAAAAAAATTCCAGTTACTCAGATTGCTTAATGATTTGCTGAAACAGCAATTTTAAACTGTATTAATTTAGATCATTTTACAGTCATTTAATAACGAAAACAGAGGATAAGCGTTGCTCAACCAACCTAGTGCCTTCTGTAGCAACAAAAGTTGCCAATCAGAGATTTTTTTTTTCAATTTTCAAAACAACCTGTGGCTTTCTGAAGGATAAGATATAACGCGATCAATCAGAAAAGGGGCAAAACCTGAAATCAAATTCCAACAACTGAAAATGAAATTTACCCACACATTTTATGAAGAAAAAAAATCAATTCTTTTAACATGCATGGTACATAACAGAGGCTATATATAGGGACAGATTTCTGTCCTCTAGATGATATAAGTAAGTTGCTGTTAAGTCACGGTTCTGATAATATAGATCACTAGGCATTTAAGGGGAAATATTAGCACTTTTAGTGGAAAATATACTTATTTTGGGCTAGGGGAAACAGCCTTTATTCGGCTGTAAAATACAATGAAAAAAATCACTACGGCAATGGGTTACAATGACGCCGAGTGACTAGTTTATAGGTATTATCAGTATTTCAGCAGTTATGTCATTTTAACCCTATGATTACATAACGAACGTTCTATTAACATTATATTTTCAATAATATATCTCCTTGCACTAGTTATGTAATTGCCACATGTTATAGACATTGTTATTTAATACATGGTCTAGCTTAATAGACGTGATATATATTTTTGCATTCACAGTTTTCTTTGCCCTTTTTGTTTCACTGCAAATTTTGTCAACCATGTCTACTTATTTACAAGTCTATGATATGTATTCAACAAAAATGTCATACATTTTAATAATTTGCATTGCAATCAAAATTTTTAATTCAAGCAAACCATTTTATTTGAGCAAAATGACGATAAAATTTGTGCATTGTAACAATCTTTTCAATATATATTGTGGCATTTCTATGATTACTAGTGGGTCATATGACTGTGGTACTTGATATAACTTTTTAAATGTTTAAACAATGTCACTGATTCATATCTATAGCTCATACATTGCGCACAAAATAAGATAGGTAAATTTATTACTAGAAACCATTTTCCAGTAAATTTATTACTAGTAACCATTTTCAGTAACTGGTTTCTTGAGCAAAAAAGCATTTTACTCAAAACTTGGTACTAGTTACTTACCATTTAACAAAAGGGTAATTTGTTGCCTTAACCAACCTATAAAATTATGAATTGTTTATAAGATATTTTTTACATAACAAGTGCAAGTAGATATATTCTTGAAAATATAATGCTAATAGGACATAAATGATGTGATCAAGTGACGCAACTGCTGAAAAACCGGTAATATAAAATTGTAACTCGGCATCACCGTCAACCTTGGACCCTTTTACTGCTACGGAAGGCACTAGTTGGTTGAGCAAGAGACCCTTATCCTGGCTGTTTACGTTATTAAGATGACTGTTTTTACGATCTATATTGTAATACGATCTATATTAATCCAGTTTAAAATATAAAAGCGGCTGTTTCAGCTAATCATTAAGCAGTTTGAGTAACTGGAAATATGTCTTCTAAAAAACAAAAGTACAAATAAATAACATAAAAAGTTAAAGATTGTTTAAGCTTGTTTCCGATGAAATGAATGCACTCTAAACTATTTCTTTTGTAAAATTAATAGTAATTATATACAGTTTGAGAGGGCATTTAAATTG